TTCCCTAATTTTCCCATCCAGCTAGTAGCCGCAGAAGCACCCAGAGGGGACTATTTCAAAGCTTTGTTCAGAGGTGGAATCTGTTTTCGACCAGTCGCAGTTATGTCTGGGCATTCTTATCAAGGCAAAAAGAATATTCCAAAGATCACAGTAAGTAGAAATAATAATATCTGCCTTAGTGGCTCTTGAAACGTGCATGCCTGATTGTCTCAAATCAATGCATTGGTTTTGTCTTGCCTAATTCCTATTTTATGTAACGGCTATTCAAGGCTGTGCCAATAGCAATTAATTAATGCATACAGGCATTTGTCATCAGTGTGGGGGTATTTTCCTTTCCATTAATGATAGTCAATTGAACACAGAAATAAATATAGTAGCGCAGAATGAGGTGGCATGATTGGCTACCATAGTGACAGTCCGAGAAACAGAACGGGGCGTTTTCTTAAAGGTAACTTGCATCTTCTTTGTTGAGGATGGCATGATACCCGTGCGCAGTGCATGTGGCTCATGTGCAATATATATAATAGAATAAATACAATAATCTTCACAATGAACTGTTATAATGTAGTTATAACTGTATTTGTTACTAAATTGTGTCAACTTGAATGCTTGGGGAAAGATAGATGAAATGCTGTAGATGAGATACACAGCCTACATTACCGCGTTTTGGATTCGTTTTTGTAGAAATTCAGCCTTCTATGATAAGAAAAAACAAAGAAATACAAAGGAATAAATCAGTTATAGCTGTGTGAATTGAGGAAATATATGGCCTATTCGTTTTCATTATTCAACATCCTGTGGTTTAATTATGTATCATAATAAACCACGTTGTACACACCCATTCTGTTAAAGAGAGATGTATTTGGCCAGCTATAGGCTATCTGAGCGTCTGGACTGGTGGTGCAGGGAGAGAGAAAAAACCTCCCACGCCCATGTGTGTGATCAGATGTGAAAGCACGCCCGTAAAAAAGAGCATTTCGAATTCAGCATCACTAGAACGCAATGTAATAGAATTCGCCGGTGCGGTGCTTTGCCTCAAGGGGTTGGAGTTGAAATCGGGGCAAGCAGCGTGGTGGCGGGGATGGTTGCTGCTGCTGCAGCACAGCTCTGGGTCTGTCTGAAATGGCTGCGTGTTCATTGTTGCGGCTCAGTGTGGTGATATATTCCAGGAGAGACGCCCTTTGTCTCGTCTGATATCACTGACGGATTGGGGGTGGATGCAGGCTGGCCTGCAAGGGTCCTCTCATAAAACATCAGCTATGCACTACAATGTTTTAGGGAAAGTTATGTGTAAATATTTTTTTACACATTTTATTTTTGTGTAGGCTTTGAACAACTTTGTGTGGCCTGTACAGGGAATACACCTGCTGCTCAGTCTAGGGACCTCTCAGGCTGCTGGCCCTGAGGGGCAATATTTTATGCTTCATCATCAATTCTACATATCAGCCTTCTTGTAGGTCTATTACTCTACTGTACTGTGCAACTTGACATAATGGAGATTCTAATATATTTTAAACAAGTATTAATAGACAGTTTATTACAATGTAATTACATGTACAAAACATGCTGGGTTGTTTGGTTGATCCAACTGGATTGCAGGCGTTGGGTCACTTAGTTGGGTTGTTTTCTTTCAAAACTGCTGGGTTATTGATGTTGGGTGCTGGCTTATTGGTGCTGGGTTATTGAGATACTGTATGACCCAGTGGGCCAGATCAGAAGACTGGAGGAGTGAATTTCATATAGATATTTTTAGACACCCATGAGTGTAAATGTCATTCCTGTTCATCTATTCTGTTGTATAGTTATCATGTTAAGGTCGAATATTTACATTTTAGTAGCTTTAATGAGGCTCACAGAAGTGTATACGTTCCTTAAAAGCCAATGTAAATCCCAATGTTGGGATACAATAAGGTGGTATACCTTATTATAATATGTAATAAATAATCATAATATTATAGAAGAATTAAGGAAAATTTGAATTTGCCGTATGGAAACTTAATATGATGAACAATAATGACATTTACTCTCACGGGTGGCCAATAAGATCTAGCTGAAAGCCATGCACCTAATAAGCCACGCCTCCTGAAAATAACCTAAGGACTACATTCATAAAGACCCTGCTGCTAGGTCAACCCAGCATGGGAGTAGAAAATACCCAACTGATGATTAAATTAACCTATGTTTGGGTAATCCCAACAACCCAATTTGTTGGGTTATTCACACAACCCAACTGGCTGGGTCAGAACAACCCAACGTGTGTTCTGTCCAGTATTTACCCAGCGCTGGGTTAACAAATAACCCATTTTTTTTTGTGTGTAGGCTATTGCCTGACAATCTGAGAAATGAATTGTATTGGGAATGATTTTCCTAGTTTATTTCTACCCCCTATATTCCAGCTGTTTCCCTATGTCTGTCTGGGAGCAGGAGAGCAGTAAGGCTATGTCAGATTTCTAGGTGTGGCTGTGCTTTTTCCATGTTCTCACAGTATCCTACTGAAGTGCCATGCATGTCATCATTAATCCCCTCCAGCTGGAACCTGCATATGTGGGCAGGACTGACAGGCCTTACCCAGAAAAGAAACCTTTCCCCCCAACGGCACCACAAAACAGGGCCTCACCGTCCCCACACTGTCTTCAAAGTGAGCCTAACTGCAAGCAAAGTTTGTGGTCATACACACATCCTTAAAAACTTAGGTGCTGGGCTAATAAACAATACCTGTAAAGAACAGGAAGGCTGGCACACTGTTTATGCTCCCAATTCACCACTTTATTTACTAAGTTTCAGACCTTCCTAACTGCAAAACATGCTGCTGTGACCACCTAGCTATTGCCATCCACTCTCCATGGCGACCAGCATACTATTGAGAAGTTGAAAATACCACCTCGGTTACCCTTGTCTCCCTGCCTCTAGCCTCTGACATGAGGCCATTTTACCACCCTGGATGGAGATTACGGTCAGGCCCAATCAGAACCAGATTTGAGTGTTGGGCTGCCTTGGAAACGGTGCTGCTTTGGCCTATCACAAGATCACGCTGCTTGAGACCGGCCTCTATGATGTGGCGGCTCGGCAACTTATTTAGATTGATAAGGCCTATTGTTTTTACTTTTCGACAGAAAAAAACATGTAATGTGCTTTTTAGCGAATAGTAAATATTTTTGTCACTAGGCAACAGCAGAGGCCCCTGGCTCCCATGCAGCAGGATGATTTTCCCCTTCCATTGGTCTCGGCCTGCCCGCCCGCCCGCCTGCCTCACACATAAGGGTCTCACAGTTAATAGACTCCTCTGGAATATCGTCTTGGCTCGGTGTGTTTTGGCTGCTGTGTTTTCCCTGTTAGCAACAACACACAGAGGCCCTGTTCCCAGTCAAACTCTCTGCAGATGTCCTCAAGAACTGCCTGTTGCAAATGCTTCTGTTACTATAATGTGTGCTCTTATCAATTTGGTCTGTGTGGAAAAAACCTTCACAAACCTTCCCAATACAGCATGTAGTACTTCCTTTAGACTATCTTTAGTCTTTTCTGGCTTGTATAATAATAGTGAAAGAGACAGTTTCCTGTAGGAAGATCTCTAGTTGTATTAATGTTCTGTGTTCTAGCATGACAATGACATGAATGTCATCACAGAGTCGTGTTTAGAGAACTTTCATCCTCATACTGGCTTCCGGTTTGCCTTTAGTAGGCTGACAAGAGAAAACAGACCTTGCTACGTTAAGATACAGTTTGGAATATATCGTCAAGAGGATGACGCGATACATATTCATCCCTTTTGACCTTCTCATCATTTCTGAAGTTCGATCATCATTTCTAAAGTCAATTCTTGTAATACATAGACTTATTTTGTTACTTCCAATGTCAAATTGCTGCAAATCACTGTTACTGTAGGCCTTTCTGACCTTTTATCACAAGCATGTCTCAAAATCTTAACCCTTAAATTGTTCAATTTTGTATAAACTTAAAACTATAAACCAAATCCTGTGATCTGTAACATGGCAACAACAAATCTCCCCACCCCAGTATCTGTCTGTGTGCCACGCCAGGCCAGTGCTGTGGAAGGGCTCCACGTAGAGTCAGTGTCCCAAATCATACCCTATTCCCTATTTAGTAACATGGGCCCTGGTCAAAGTAGTGCAATACACTCTTGGAATCTTCACCTGTCCCCATAGAAGAACCCTTTTTGGTTCCAGGTAGAACCCTTTTTGGTTCCAGGGAGAACCCTTTTTGGTTCCAGGGAAAACCCTTTTTGGTTCCAGGTAGAACCCTTTTTGGTTCCAGGGAGAACCCTTTTTGGTTCCAGGGAGAACCCTTTTTGGTTCCAGGGAGAACCCTTTTTGGTTCCAGGGAGAACCCTTTTTGGTTCCAGGTAGAACACTTTTTGGTTCCAGGGAGAATCCTTTTTGGTTCCAGGGAGAACCCTTTTTGGTTCCAGGTAGAACACTTTTTGGTTCCAGGGAGAATCCTTTTTGGTTCCAGGGAGAACCCTTTTTGGTTCCAGGTAGAACCCTTTTGGTTTCCATGGAGAACCCTCTGTGGAAAGGGTTCTAAATGGAACCGAAAAAGGATCCACCTGGAACCAAAAAGGGTTCTTCAAAGGGTTCTCCTATGGGGACTGCCGAAGAACCCTTTTAGGTTCTAGATAGCACTTTTTTTTTTCAACCAAGACAGTAGATCACTAATCACACCACACCATGTGCTGATGGGAAACTACGGAACGCTCGCATTCTGTTTCCTTACAGGGCAGTGAACTGAACCTAGGCATTTTACACAGTGTGATAATGGATACCTATCACACATATATTATTCATACGGTAAAATGTAAAAGAGCCATTTGCCTTTGGTTGAGGTCACTCCATCTCCTGGTGTTGTTGTAGAATCTAGTGGTCTGTCCGGTCAAGGAGAAGAGAAGAGACCTTGCCCAGGCAATGTACTGAGACACTAATGTCAACGTTCCCCTCATTCCCTCCCTCCTCCAGACTTTCTCTCTCTCTCTTTCTATGCCAGGGAGCAGTCATGGGCCATTCCCTGTTGCTCAGTGTTATGCCCTGTACCCTGTGAGGCGTGTCCTTAACAGGCATGCCAGCCCGCCGCTCCAGCCTCTCTGAGTGCTCCTAGCAAAGCGTTACCATGGAAATGGCTCGCTAGTGGCCAAGTGGCTGTCTCTGTCGCAGTAGCTGAGTAGCTAGACGACAACGCCCTGCTTACAGGCTACGTTATCTAGTTCAAGCTCATCTATGTGACTGCTAGGACCATCCATCCATCCAGCAGGGTGTAAAATGTAGGTTACTGTGTACAGTAGTTACTGTGTAATCTTTGTGAGTGGCAGGCCATTCTCATTAGCCCTCTCTTGTGTAGATGAGAGTGTCAGACATTCCAAACAAATGGCTCTTGTTTCACCCCAGCTGTTGAAATCGAGATTGCGCAAGAACAAGAACACATTACATTACATTTACGTCATTTAGCAGACGCTCTTATCCAGAGCGACTTACAAATTCCCACATCCTGAAAAAAATAAGCACAAAACAGAATGTCCGCCGGAATACTGATGAGATTGCTTTGGACTTTCTAACATTCTCTCCCTCCCTCCCTCCCTCCCATCCCCACCCCTCTCTTTTTCTATCTTCTCTTTCCTTCTCCCTCTCCTTCTTTCGTTCTCTCGCTCCAGAGCGACAGGCTTCTGGTCAAAGGCGGGAGGATCGTTAATGATGACCAGTCCTTTTATGCCGACATCTACATGGAGGATGGCGTCATTAAGTAAGAGAATGTTTGACCCATGCATTGAAATTTACATTGACATTGACGTTGACATTTTGATCATTTAGCAGACACTCTTATCCAGAGCGACTTACAATCAGTGCATTCAACTAAGGTAGGCAAGACAACCACATAACACAGTCATTTCAAGTGCCAGACAGATCCAGACAGATCCAGTCATATCCAGACAGATCCAGTCAGATCCAGACAGATCCAGTCATATCCAGACAGATCCAGACAGATCCAGACAGATCCAGTCAGATCCAGTCAGATCCAGTCAGATCCAGACAGATCCAGTCATATCCAGACAGATCCAGACAGATACAGACAGATCCAGTCAGATCCAGTCAGATCCAGTCAGATCCAGACAGATCCAGTCAGATCCAGTCAGATCCAGACAGATCCACACAGATCCAGTCATATCCAGACAGATCCAGTCATATCCAGACAGATCCAGTCAGATCCAGACAGATCCAGTCATATCCAGACAGATCCAGACAGATCCACTGTCAGAGTCTACTCCAGTGCACAGTAGTTCATATGGTGTGCAGGGCCAGACGAGAGGCAATGTGGGTGCATTCCTGCCTGCTCTTGGAGGGGCACTCTTTTTCCCAGTTCCTGTTCCCACTCGATCAGCCTATTAGGCCCTTTGTCCTGTGTGCTCCCATAGAGGAGCTCTGATAGGAAAAGCACCCGCAGGAAGGTTAGAGCTGCATACCAATTAAACAGGCTAGGCCAGGCCAGCCTAGCATCGACCGCGCTGCTGCTGGCACAGGAATACAGACGCTGGCTGGCTGGCTGGCTGGCTGGCTGGCTGGCTGGCTGGCTGGCTGTCTGTCTGTCTGTAACCCTCCAAGCTGCTATTTGACATGCTCTGATGACTTTCATCCAATGTGGAAGGATTACAAATGATGCTGGGTCACCGCTAACTTTCTAGTTTGATTAACTTTACTGTACACCAGTCAGTCATCAGCAAAACTACATTTCTTATGATATGATCATATATTCATTTCGGTTTATTCATTAGCTATTTAGCTATTAATGGCATGAATTTACAGTATGTGAATTTACATGTGTCAAGTCGATGATACCCCCTGACATGGCTCTTCCTGTCTAAACCTCCAGGCAGATTGGAGACAACCTGATCGTCCCAGGTGGGATCAAGACCGTCGAGGCCAACGGCAAGATGGTGATCCCTGGTGGCATTGATATCCACACCCACTTCCAGATGCCCTACCGGGGTACCACCACCGTGGATGACTTCTCCCAGGGCACCAAGGCTGCCCTGGCTGGGGGAACCACCATGATTGGTGAGGGGAGCCAGAAAGAGAGAGAGAGTGTCAAGGGCACCACACAAAGGGAGGGTGGGGGGCGCGGAGTGGCAAGGGGAGCCTACACAGTGAAACATTTACATTACATTTAAGTCATTTAGCAGAAACTCTTATCCAGAGCGACTTACACTTAGTGCATACATTACTTTTTTTATTTATTTTTTCATACCCCCCGTGGGAATCGAACCCACAACCCTGGCGTTGCAAACGCCATGCTCTACGAACTGAGCTACATCCCCTGCCGGCCATTCCCTCCCCTACCCTAGACGACGCTGGGTCAATTGTGCGCCGCCCCATGGGTCTACGGGAAACAATTGTCTACGGGTCCAAACGTTGTACCTGTTTTGAAATGGACCTGAGGCTTTCCCACCTGGACCCAATATACATAAATACATTTAAAAAATATAGAGACCCGTTCCGAATGGACCCGAAGACAACTAGACCCGTTCCGAATAGACCTGGTCGGATCCAAACCCAGTCCGATCCGAGTGAGGGAAGCGGGAGAAAAGTTTTTGAAGCTACTTTATTAACCGAAGCTGATAAAGCGCGAGAGGAGGGAGAGGTGCCGCTCTAGCAGGCCAGGGAGGGGCTGTACTGTGAGAGCGTGACATGGGGATCAGGGAGGAGGGAGTGACATGGGGAGCAGGGAGGAGGCAGGGAGAGATGAGAGACAGCAACCAACCAAGCCGACTTGCGCTATAGTAGACTAATAGCTGCTATAGCTAGGTTATTTATCATTAAATATGATTACGTAATACCTGTCGTGACTGCATCAAACCAGGAGAAGCTAGTTAAGCTAGCTAACGTTAGCTAGCTAGGCTAACTGAGGCTGCAGTGCACGCGCATTCTCATTCTACTGTTACAAACAACAACAACTCCATTCAGAATATTAAGTAGCAGCCTACCTGTTGACTCTTGGTCGTTGTAGCCTGTTCTTCTCCTTTAACTTTTAATTCCATCATTTTAATTCCATCTTCCATTGATTAGATATCTCCTAACTTTTGCCCCAAACGGAGCGAGGCTCTATGACTGTAGCCTATTGCCGCTTTGATGACCTATGACTGGCCATCAACAAGCTACACTCCGCTCTTGTGAAAAGCAAGAGCAGCAGCATAAATGAAAACATTTCTCTCTCTCTCTGTACTGCCACAGTCACGTTCGGATCTGGACGGGCGCTTCCGGACAAGTCAGTTAAAATTACACATACCCAAGACCCATGACAATCATATCAGATCCGACCCAGACCCGTTACATTGTTTAGAATTCTGGATCCGGACTCACTCGTGTCCCAGACCAGGCCTCGGGTATTCGGGTACAGGTCGATCTGTGAAGACCTGTAGTGTGTGATGCACCCCGGACTGGGCCCAACACACAGATGAGCCCAAAGACTGGGCCCAACACACAGATGAAACAACTGGTAGATAGTAACTCTTCATTATGATCAACTGGTACTAAACTGTGTGGTGTCTGTTGCCCTGTGAAGGAAGAACTGCCTCCAGCACACTTGTGTACTATAGTAGCCTATTCATCCTCCCATTCATGTCTATGACACAGAGTTACAAGCGACAGCCTCGGTCAGAGAGTCAACTTAGTAAACAACAGAGCTTTTCTTGGCTGCTGTTGACTCAAGATCGCATTAACATGCACAGAGGGATCTGAGGAGATTGGGCGGCCTTTAATTGGATCAGGAAGTGGTCAGCTGTTCGGGACAGCAGGTGGACATATTACATCAGAGACTAGGACCACTATAGACATTGGAGGGGGTGGGGGTTCTCTTTATCTCTTATTACTGTGAGTTTATTTTCGATTAGCCTCACACTGACATGAACTGTGAGTTCGATGTAACCCAAACACACACTCAGACATACAGACATTTCCAATGATAGGTGACATTGTATTGAAAGCCGCTGGCAAAGGACACAGAGACACAGGCATTGTGAGTTATATAACACAAACAGAGTACAAGCAGCACTAGTAACATCCTCCCTCTCTCTCTCCCTCTCTCTCTTCCTAATCCCTATCTCTCTATGTCCACCCTCTTCACTCCCCTCCCTCCCTCCCTGCAGTGGACCATGTGATCCCGGAGCCAGGCAGCAGTCTGATCGAGGCCTTTGAGCAGTGGAGGAGCTGGGCCGATGAGAAGACCTGCTGTGACTACTCCCTCCATGTGGACATCACCCACTGGAGCGACAGTGTCAAGCAGGAGGTGGACACACTGCTCAAGGAAAAAGGTAACGGCCAACTTCACAACAACAAGGGGAAGGTCTGACAGACAGTAAATGGAAATTCAAATGGATTTTATTTCTATAGCACTTTTCCACATGCTCAGATCATATATTATGGGAGGAAACACATCGACTACCAAAGGGTTAGGCAGGGTTCTGTTCACCACAAATATCTGTCAGTCTGTATATCAACTGGATTGAGAGGACCATGCTTTTAAGTTTAGAGGTGAGGATCCACCTTGGATCAAGACAAAGTCCATAGTACTGGATCAAGCAGACAGACACACAGGCATGCAGACAGACAGACAGACAGACAGATAGACACGCATGCAGACAGAGAGACAAACAGACACACAGGCATGCAGACAGACAGACAGACAGATACACACGCATGCAGACAGACAGACACGCAGGCAGGCATACAGACAGACAGACAGATAGACAGGCAGACAGACACACAGACAAGCGTGCAGACAGACAGGCAGACAGACAGACAGACACACACAGAAAGGCAGGCAGACAGACAGACACACACAGGCAGGCAGACAGTGCTATTATACCTAATCCTCTGGCCAAAGGCAGAGATAATGAGCAGGGTTACTGCTGGCAGCAGCTAGGAAACTCAATCAGCGGTGGTGGCTTCTTCCGCCTCCTTATCTCTGGCCCATAATCTGTCTGACCCCCAACCACAGCCACAGGCGTCCTGGTCCTGGCGTCCAGTACACTCACAGGACCTGTGGTCCATACCTGGCCCTGGCCCAAACACCCTGACCACCACTGTCCATCTGCAGGAGGGTGTGGTGCCCTGACGGGACCCCCCGTGGTTTCACACCCAGTTAGATAGCTCAGACACTGGACAGAGTGGACAGGTCCGTTTGGCCACCCCAGCATAGCCACAGAATGTCCAGAGAGCAGAAGACAGGCCTCCTGGGTAATGATAGTTAGGCCCTAAATTCCAGTCACGTTCAATGAAGGGAAACTGGTCTGATGAGGGATCATCTGTTTGCTTCCAATCTAGAACCAGACTCTTTGAGAACTGTCCCTCTTTGATGTCACCAGAGTGACGTCATCAGAGTGCGCAGCTGAACACTGTATGCTGGAAACACTCAGTTTCTTATTTTTATCCATCGGATGTAGTGATCACAATATAGTAGCCATATCTAGGAAAACCAAAGTTCCAAAGGCTGGGCCTAATATAGTGTATAAGAGGTTATACAATACATTTTGTAGTGATTCCTATGTTGTTGATGTAAAGAATATTTGTTGGTCCGTGGTGTGTAATGAGGAGCAAACAGACGTTGCTGCACTTGACACATTTATGAAATTGCTTTTCCCAGTTACTATTAAGCATGCACCCATTAAGAAAATGACTGTAAAAACTATTAAATCCCAGTGGATTGATGAGGAATTTAAAAATGGTATGGTTGAGAGGGATGAGGCAATAGGAATGGCAAATAAAGTCTGGCTGCACTACCCATTGGCAAACGTACTGCAAATTGAGAAATCATGTGACTAAACTGAATTAAAAAGAAGAAACTACACTATGAAACAATGATAAATTACAAAAAGAATTACAGTAAAAAACTTTGGAGCACCTTCAATTAAAATTTGGGAAAAAAGGCAAACTCAGCTCCATCATTCATTGAATCTGATGGCTCATTCATCACAAAACGGACTGATATTGCCAACTACTTTAATGATTTTTTTCATTCATTGGCAAGATTAGCAAACTTAGGCATGACATGCCAGCAACAAACGCTGACACTACACATCCAAGTATATCTGACCAAATTATGAAAGACAGGAATTGTAATTTTGAATTCCGTAAAATGAGTGTGGAAGTGGTGAAAACATTATTGTTGTCTATCAACAATGACAAGCCACAGGGGTCTGACAACTTGGATGGAAAATTACTGAGGATAATAGCGGACGATATTGCCACTCTTATTTGCCATATCTTCAATTTAAGCTTACTAGAAAGTGTGTGCCCTCAGGCATGGAGGGAAGCAAAAGTCATTCTGCTACCTAAGAATAGTAAAGCCCCCTTTACTGGCTCAAATAGCCAACCAATCAGCCTGTTACCAACCCTTAGTAAAGTTTTGGAAAAAATTGTATTTGACCAGATACAATGCTATTTTACAGTAAACAAATTGACAACAGACTTTCAGCACGCTTATAGGGAAGGACATTCAACAAGCACAGCACTTACACAAATCACTGATGATTGGCTGAGAGAAATTGATGATAAAAACATTGTGGGGGCTGTTTTGTTAGACTTCAGTGCAGCTTTTGACATTATCGATCATAATCTGCTGCTGGAAAAACATATGTGTTATGGCTTTACATCCCCTGCTATATTGTGGATAAAGAGTTACCTGTCTAACAGAATACAGAGGGTGTTCTTTAATGGAAGCCTCTCCAACATAATCTAGGTAGAATCAGGAATTCCCCAGGGTAGCTGTCTAGGCCCCTTACTTTTTTCAATCTTTACTAACTATATGCCACTGGCTTTGAGTAAAGCCAGTGTGTCTATGTATGCGGATGACTCAACACTATACACGTCAGCTACTACAGCGACTGAAATGACTGCAACACTTAACAAAGAGCTGCAGTTAGTTTCAGAATGGGTGGCAAGGAATAAGTTAGTCCTAAATATTTCAAAAAGCATTGTATTTGGGACAAATCATTCACTAAACCCTAAACCTCAACTAAATCCTGTAATAAATAATGTGGAAATTGAGCAAGTTGAGGTGACTAAACTGCTTGGAGTAACCCTGGATTGTAAACTGTCATGGTCAAAACATATTGATACAACAGTAGCTAAGATGGGGAGAAGTCTGTCCATAATAAAGCGCTACTCTACCTTCTTAACAGAACTATCAACAAGGCAGGTCTTACAGGCTCTAGTTTTGTTGCACCTGGACTACTGTTCAGTCGTGTGGTCAGGTGCCACAAAGAGGGACTTAGGAAAATTGCAATTGGCTCAGAACAGCGCAGCACGGCTGGCCCTTGGATGTATACAGAGAGCAAACATTAATAATATGCATGTCAATCTCTCCTGGCTCAAAGTGTGGAGAGATTGACTTCATCACTACTTGTATTTGTGAGAGGTATTGACATGTTGAAAGCACCGAGCTGTCTGTTTAAACGACTAGCACACAGCTCAGACACCCATGTATACCCCACAAGACATGCCACCAGAGGTCTCTTCACAGTCCCCAAGTCCAGAACAGACTATGGGAAGTGCACAGTACTACATAGAGCCATGACTACATGGAACTCTATTCCACATCAGGTAACTGATGCAAGCAGTAGAATCCGATTTAAAGAAATACATAAAAATACACCTTATGGAACAGCGGGACTGTGAAGACACACACACATAGGCACAGACACATGCATACACACACATGATAACATATGCTCTATACACACACGTACACATGGATTTTGTGTTGTAGATATGTGGTAATGGAGTAGGGGCCTGAGTGCACACACTTAGTGTGTTGTGAAATCTGTTATGAATGTATTGTAATGTTATGAAAAATTGTATAACTGCCTTAATTTTGCCGGACCCCAGGAAGAGTATCTGCCTTGGCAGCAGCTAATGGGGATCCATAATAAATAAAAATACAAATACAAATCTGTTTGGCTCAATGAATAAACTGGAATTATCACAGAACTCTTCTCTGTTTGGGGTTTGGCTCATATGCTACTTCTCTCGCTTTCTGTCTGTCTCTCTCTGTCTCTCTCTGTCTGTCTGTCTGTCTGTCTCTCTCTCTCTCTCTCTCTCTCTCTCTCTCTCTCTCTCTCTCTCTTTCTCTCTCTCTCTCTCTCTCCCCCTCTCTCTCTCTCTCTCTCTCTCTCTCTCTCTCTCTCTCTCTCTCTCTCTCTCTCTCTCTCTCTCTCTTCTCTCTCTCTCTCTCTCAGGTGTGAACTCCTTCCAGGTCTACATGGCCTATAAGGACTTCTACCAGATGAGCAACAGTGAGGTACAGTATGCTAGCTAGCCTACAGCAACACACCATGTTGGTGAGCCCTACTCGGCTCTGCTTGGCAAGCACGTGAAACACAGTCCCGCCAAACTGTAATCAATGGAAAAAATGACCATGTCTGCAAATCATGTGGCCTATATGGAGGCATTGTGGTAATGATAGACTCGTTTAAACTGAAGCAGCCCATGCAAGCCTAGTTTAGCCGTGTTTTATAATAGCATACATTGTGTGGTTTCTATTTGTAGTCTGATGTGTGTGGACTGCGACCATTCACCTTACTGTGTTCTATTCATGTTTGTACTATGTTCTATTCATGTTTGTACTATGTTCTATTCATGTTTGTTCTATGTTCTATTCATGTTTGTACTATGTTCTATTCATGTTTGTACTATGTTCTATTCATGTTTGTACTATGTTCTATTCATGTTTGTACTATGTTCTATTCATGTTTATACTATGTTCTATTCATGTTTGTACTATGTTCTATTCATGTTTGTTCTATGTTCTATTCATGTTTGTACTATGTTCTATTCATGTTTGTACTATGTTCTATTGATGTTTCTACAGCTGTATGAGATCTTTACCTTCCTGGGAGAGATGGGTGGCATTGTGCAGGTCCATGCTGAGAACGGCGAGATCATCGCCGAGGTAACCCACCTGTCACAACAACCACCCACCCCCTCCTTTCTCCTCCCTGTTTTAACCTTTGACCTTTATCACAGTGCTGCCCCATACATTGTCATACATTGTCCGGTTCCCCCAGACTTATCTGACTCCCATATAGTCTGTATCAGAAGGAAAGGGTGAGTGGTGAGAGTGGCTAGTGCAGGAGTCACACTGACAGTAATGTGTGGATGCAGTTTATGTTAGACTGTGTTAGGACTGACTGTAGAGTCCTGGGAGGGAGCTGGGTGGGCCTTAATAGCTGGTCTGGATTCCCTCAGATACTTAGGGTGTCTGGGATCTGTCTGTCCGGACTGTAAAGAGGCTTCCTCGCTGTCTGGGCCCCAGCTTTTAACCCACAGCATAGTATCATGTCCCAAAGATACCCCAAAGCTGTCCAGGGTGAATATGAGGGTGAATAGCACTAACTACACCTCTATATCAGCACTACAACAGTTAACCACTCATCACTCTCTCCATGCAATGTGTTATTGATGCAGGGTTCAATACTTTCTGCCATCTTTCTGTTTGGGGTGCTGGTGTGTGTGTATGTGTGTATGTGTGTACAGTGAGGGAAAAAAGTATTTGATCCCCTGCTGATTTTGTACTTTTGCCTACTGACAAAGACATGCTCAATCTGTAATTTTAATGGTAGGTTTATTTGAACAGTGAGAGACAGGAAAATCCAGAAAAATGCATGTCAAAAATGTAAAAAATTGATTTGCATTTTAATGAGGGAAATAAGTATTTGACCCCTCTGCAAAACATGACTTAGTACTTGGTGGCAAAACCCTTGTTGGCAATCACTGAGGTCAGACGTTTGTTGTAGTTGGCCACCAGGTTTGCACACATCTCAGGAGGGATTTTGTCTCACTCCTCTTTGCAGATCTTCTCCAAGTCATTAAGGTTTCGAGCCTGACGTTTGGCAACTCGAACCTTCAGCTCCCTCCACAGATTTTCTATGGGATTAAGGTCTGGAGACTGGCTAGGCCACTCCAGGACCTTAATGTGCTTCTTCTTGAGCCACACCTTTGTTGCCTTGGCCCTGTGTGTTTTGGGTCATTGTCATGCTGGAATACCCATCTACGACCCATTTTCAATGCCCTGGCTGAGGGAAGGAGGATCTCACCCAAGATTTGACAGTACATGGCCCCGTCCATCGTCCCTTTGATGTGGTGAAGTTGTCCTGTCCCCTTAGCAGAAAAACACCCCCAAAGCATAATGTTTCCACCTCCATGTTTGACGGTGGGGATGGTGTTCTTGGGGTCATAGGCAGCATTCCTCCTCCTCCAAAAACTGTGAGTTGAGTTGATGCCAAAGAGCTCGATTTTGGTCTCATCTGACCACAACACTTTCACCCAGTTCTCCTCTGAATCATTCAGATGTTCATTGGCAAACTTCAGACGGCCCTGTATATGTGCTTTCTTGAGCAGGGGGACCTTGCGGGCGCTGCAGGATTTCAGTCCTTCACGGCGAAGTATGTTACCAATTGTTTTCTTGGTGACTATGGTCCCAGCTGCCTTGAGATCATTGACAAGATCCTCCTGTGTAGTTCTGGGCTGATTCCTCACCGTTCTCATGATCATTGCAACTCCACGAGGTGAGATCTTGCATGGAGCCCCAGGCCGAGGGAGATTGACAGTTATTTTGTGTTTCTTCCATTTGCGAATAATCGCACCAACTGTTGTCACCTTCTCACCAAGCTGCTTGGCGATGGTCTTGTAGCCCATTCCAGCCTTGTGTAGGTCTACAATCTTGTCCCTGACATCCTTGGAGAGCTCTCTGGTCTTGGCCATGGTGGAGAGTTTGGAATCTGATTGATTGATTGCTTCTGTGGACAGGTGTCTTTTATACAGGTAACAAGCTGAGATTAGGAGCACTCCCTTTAAGAGTGTGCTCCTAATCTCAGCTCGTTACCTGTATAAAAGACACCTGGGAGCCAGAAATCTTTCTGATTGAGAGGGGGTCAAATACTTATTTCCCTCATTAAAATGCAAATCAATTTATAAAAATTTTAACATGCGTTTTTCTGGATTTTTTTGTTGTTATTCTGTCTCTCACTGTTCATATAAACCTACCATTAAAATTATAGACTGATCATTTCTTTGTCAGTGGGCAAACGTACAAAATCAGCAGGGGATCAAATACTTTTTTTCCCCTCACTGTATGTGTGTGTGTGTGTGTGTGTGTGTGTGTGTGTGTGTGTGTGTGTGTGTGTGTGTGTGTGGGTGTGTCAGAGCCTGGGGTGAATTGGTGTGAACATGGTCCCTCTGTCTGTCTGTCTGTCACAGGAGCAGGCACGCATGCTGGAGATGGGCATCACTGGACCAGAGGGACACGTGCTGAGCAGGCCAGAGGAGGTGAGGCTCTATACATAATAAGGTTGTGTGTGTTTGTGTGTGTGTGTGCGCGTGCGTGTGCCTCTGTCTCTGTGTGTGTGTGTCTACTTAATAAGGTTGTGTGTTTGTGCATGTGCATGTGTCTCTCTCTCTCTGTGTGTGTGTGCGTGTGTCTCTCTCACTCTGTGTGTGTGCGTCTCTCTCTCTCTCTCTCTCTCTCTCTCTCTCTCTCTCTCTCTCTCTCTCTATCTCTCTCTCTCTGTGTGTGCGTGTGTGTCTCAGCTGAATTTTGTGGAATCCGTTAAATAACTATGTACACACGTTTGTTATTACACACGTCTGTTTTCTGACAAATACAGACCAACAGTAAAAATACACAGCACTCTGGTAATTATCTCAATTGTAGTTGTTTATTGGAACTGTAATGTAGTAGCCGCCTGCGCCCGATTTGAGAACTCGGGACGCTCGGGGTGCACGTGGGTTGTATTGTATGGCAGTCATGGACTAAATCAAGCTCAAGTGCAGCGCTCTCTCTCTCTAGTAGTTATTTACTAGATATGCATAGCCAAAAGTCATAGCCATTAGTCATAGCCATAAGTCATAGCCATAACCTTACCAAGAGTACACCACAGGATATTACATTGGCGACGAGAAGGGTTGATGTGAACCCAGCGAGGTATAAATACTTTTTTCTCAGTTTAACCAACTACGAATGTCTTCGGTAAACAGCTAGCCTAACATCATCATGGCGCTCATTGGACACATGTCTGTCGATATAAAGGAGGATTTTGATTCTTACCTTGAGAGACTGGAACTCTGGATGACAGCTATTGATATCACCGAGGACAGTCAGTCATTGGTAGCAGGGCCTATGGATTGTTGAAAAGCTTGGTAGCCCCTAACAAACCAAGCGATAAAGACTATGATGAGGTTACCGAGGCACTGAGCACTCACTACAGGCCGCGGCCTTTGATAATAGAGGAAAGATTATGTTTACACCAACGTGATCAGAATGAGAGGGAAAGCATTGCTGATTATGTCCCCCTTTTGCAAAAGGGGGAAGGAGAAATTGGCATAGAGCCAAAATGCTACTGTTGTGGATAGAAACACAATTCTCAGAACTGTAGATACGAGTGCTCAAAAGTGTGCAGGAAAGCTAAAAATAGCAACAAAGCAATGCTAATCACAGAAAGCAATGAGACAGGAGAAAATGCAGATGATGACATGAAACAGTTTTCAGTGTTCAGAGCGACTGACACTACTCAAGGAATTGTTGTTGAAGTGAAACTGAACGACACACCAGTTGTAATGCAAGTAGACACAGGAGCTGCAGTCACCGTCATCTCAGAGAGCATTTAGGCTTTAGCACACATCTCACTGGAGAAAAAACTAATGCAATACCACTGCTGGGCAGACTCACAGTACCAGTGCAGTACGAGACGCAATGCGCAAAGGCAACAAACGAGCGGTACTGGGGAGAAACCGGTTAAAACACATCCGGTTAGACAGGGAGCGCATTTGCCAAGTGAATGACAATAAAGCCACTGTTCCTCAACAAAGTGTTGGAGAAACAAAAAGAGGATTTCAAAGAGGGTTTAGGCCTGATCTTGGAGTTCAAAGCGGACATCAAGATGAAACCAGAGGCCAACCCAAAGTTTCACAAGCCACGCCCTGTTCATTACGCCTTTACGAGAAAAGGTAGAAAAAGAACTGACAAGACTGGAGGGGGAGAACATAATCACCAAGGTACATCGTGGAGTACCTAGGCCACCGGGTGGATACAGATGGGCTTCATCCCACAGAAAAGAAACTCACAGCCATTGTACTGAAGCCCCTCCACAAGCTGCTACAAAGCAACAAATAGCGGCAATGGAAAAAACTGTGCGAATATGTCTTCCACAAAAGTAAGCAGATGTTACTGGACAGTCAGTGGTTGGTGCACTACGACACCAAGAGACCCTTACGCTTGGCTTGTGATGCCTCGTTGTAGGGGTTTGGAGCAGTGATTTCACATGTTTTTGAGAATGGGGGCGAAAGACCCATAGCATTTACCTCCCGAACCCTCAGTGCCAGTGAGAAAAACTATGCGCAGATGGAGAAATAAAGGTTGGCTCTCTGATCTTTGGAGTTAAGACATTTCACAAGTATCTTTATGGCCGCAGATTTACTGTAGTCACAGATCACAAACCACTCCTGTTCATCTTCGGACCGAAGACAGCCTACTCTGTCAAGCTCAAGAATGCCACCATTCTATCAGCCTACCGGTATGACATCGAATACCACCTCTCAACCGAACACTTTAATGCTGACACATTATCCCGGGTACCACTGGATGGAATGGAGGCACCAGAAACGACTGGTAATGTCTTCTACTTTGCAGCGTGGGACGACATACTACTACAAGCCACAGACATTGCCATGGGGACAAAGAGAGACGCGGTGTTGTTCAAAGTGTTGGACTTCACAATGCATGGCTGGCCGAGCTATGTAGAAAGATAGGAGCTACAGGGATACTTCACCAGAAGACTGCAGCTATCAACTGACAAAGGCTGTCTACTCTGGGGTTGCCGAGTAATCATACCCACAGAAATGCAAGTGAGTTTACTCACCGACCTGCATGAGGGGCACCCTGGAATGTGCCGCATGAAGGCACTGGGAGAAAACCATGTGTGTCTGCCAGCGCTAGTTAAAGACCTTGAAAACAAAGTGAAACAATGTGACATTTGTATGTCAGTGAGGAACCTGCCAAACCCTGCAACGCTACACTGCTGGAAATGGCCAAATTGAGTGTGGCAGCTTTTACACATTAGAATTAGCAGAGAAGGATCAACAGAATTTCCTTGTGCTGATTGACAGCCATTCAAAATGGATTGAAGTGGAAGCCATGACATCGACTACAGTGACTTGCGAAAGTATTCACCCCCATGGCATTTTTCCTATTTTGTTGCTTTACAACGTGGAATTAAAATGGATTTTTGGGGGGTTTGTATCATTTGATTTACACAACATGTCTACCACTTTGAAGATGCAAAATATTATTTAACATTTAAATGTTTCCCCTTAAACCACTCAAGTGTTGCTTTAGCAGTATGCTTAGGGTCATTGTCCTTCTGGAAGGTGAACCTCTGTCCCAGTCTCAAATCTCTGGAAGACTGAAACAGGTTTCCCTTAAGAATTTCCCTGTATTTAGCGCCATCCATCATTCCTTCAATTCTGACCAGTTTCCCAGTCCCTGCCGATGAAAAACATCCCCACAGCATGATGCTGCCACCACCATGCTTCACTGTGGGGATGGTGTTCTCGGGGTGATGAGAGGTGTTGGGTTTGCACAAGACATTTTCCTTGATGGCCAAAAAGCTCAATTTTTGTCTCATCTGACCAGAGTACCTTCTTCCATATGTTTGGGGAGTCTCCCACATGCCTTTTGGCAAACACCAAACATGTTTGCTTATTTCTTTCTTTAAGCAATGGCTTTTTTTCTGGCCACTCTTCCGTAAAGCCCAGTTCTGTGGAGTGTACGGCTTAAAGTGGTCCTATGGACAGATACTCCAATCTCCGCTGTGGAGCTTTGCAGCTCCTTGAGGGTTATCTTTGGTCTCTTTGTTGCCTCTCTGATTAATGCCCTCCTTGCCTGGTCTGTGAGTTTTGGTGGGCGGCCCTCTCTTGGCAGGTTTGTTGTGGTGCCATATTCTTTCCATTTTTTAATAATGGATTTAATGGTGCTCCGTGGGATGTTCAAAGTTTCTGATATTTTTTTATAACCCAACCCTGATCTGTACTTCTCCACAACTTTGTCCCTGACCTGTTTGGAGAGCTCCTTGGTCTTCATGGTGCTTGCTTGGTGGTGCGCCTTGTTTAGTGGTGTTGCAGACTCTGGGGACTTTCAGAATGGGTGTATATATACTGAGATCATGTGACAGATCATGTGACACTTAGATTGCACACAGGTGGACTTTATTTAACTAATTATGTGACTTCTGAAGGTAATTGGTTGCACCAGATCTTATTAAGGGCTTCATAGCAAAGGGGTTGAATACATATGCACGCACCATTTTTCCGTTATTTATTTTATATACTTTTTTGAAACAATTAATTTTTTCATTTCACTTCACCAATTTTGACTATTTTGTGTATGTCCATTACATGAAATCCAAATAAAAATCAATTTAAATTACAGGTTGTAATGCAACAAAATAGGAAAAACGCCAAGGGGGATGAATACTTTTGCAATCCACCAATACGATCGACTATATGAGGAGGATCTTTGCAGCCTATGGGATTCCTGAGGAGGTGGTCTCGGATAATGGCCCCCAGTTCCGGTCTACAGAGTGGGCCCAGTGGACCAGAGCAAACGGCATTAAACACACCCTGACCCCACCGTACCACCCAGCCACGAATTGCGTAGCAGAACGCTCAGTGCAGATACTGAAGCAAGCTTTGGTTAAGGTTGTTCCTCAGGAGCACATAACACAGACCCACCTGTCTGAAACACCACAGGAGCACAACCCACTCGCTGACTGGGAGGACGCCTGCGGAACTGTTCCTCAAGCGGGAGATCCACACACAACTGACTTTGTGTCATGTGAATTTCTATCTCTAATTCAACCTAAGCTTGAATCATTACCAGAGGTTGTAAAGCTCTGGTTTTAATCATCAATGATTCAAGGTCCACAATCCACAAGTAATTATCGGTAAATTTTATTCAAGGAGAGCTCTGCTCAAAAACACAAATATCCTGTTTTTTATACCCCTTGACAAACAAAGACACTATGCTCCTCCCACCTTTAGGTGGCTTTCTTAAACAGTTCCCGCCTTCCCCCTTGAATGGTTAGTAACGCCCCCTCTGTTAGTGGGTTGACACTACATGATAATTCTAACATTTATACTGTGTTTGGGGTGAAATTCTTTAGTCATTATTCTTAAAATCCAAATTAATCTAACAATCCACCCCTTTGACTAAATATTCCCACATTCAGGATAAATGTATTTTACAAGCATGATTAATCTCAGAGATCACATCAGAACTAATAAACATTTAATCCAATTGCGGTCTTTCAGGGTCCAAATCCTCGTCATCCACCAAGCCTGGAGGATTGTTTTTCACATTCCCCTGGTCAGAGTCCGGAGTCAGTCCATCTCTCATTGTTTAGATACTGCATTTCATCAACGCCTGACTCACCAATCCTCGGACACAGGGAACAAGACAACAACCACATAATACAAGAATACCCATACAAACACTGATCGCTCCTAAGATGGTGGCTGCTAGGGTTTTCCATTTACCAAATATTTAATCAAACCACCCTATCCACAATGTACTAACTTCTGAGTTCAGTTCATCCTTCACTTAGTGCAGTTAATTCTGTAAGAGCTCTGGTGACTGTCCCATCCGGTGTGGTGTTGTTAGGGATAAATATGCAACAATGGCTTATCTTTCTATAGACACCGGCCCTTTCTGCCTGATCTAGAACCAACCTCTACTAAGTTATGAGCGGGATGGCGGATAATCGCTCAGAGATCCCCTTTACTGCATCACTAGTCTTGTCAATAAATCGTTGTTGGTTGTAATAGATATAACTTATCCAATCCATATTTTTGTTTGTCACCCACCAGAAATTCTTTGTGGTAAAACTCTCCCATATTTGATTTATAGCTTTGTATTCGTCTGGAACACCCCTGGGGATGCCTATACCATCTATCCAAATTGGGCTATTTCCTTCCTGACTTATTTATTTTTCTCCTAATTATTCTTCCTGTCACTGGTCTTTGATTACCAATTCTTACAGGTTGGACCAAAAATACTGGTGCACAAGTACCCACCCATCCCTCTGGTAATGCCTGCCGAATGCTCCCTTTTTTAGTGTACGCCCACCACACATCAGTCAGAGGGATGGTTAGGTTCCTAATTTTTTTCCCCCTTCCTTCCTTATCTAAATCAGTCACATTCATTATCTCCTTACAGCCATCAAAATCACCCAAGTTACGGGTGCCATTTCTATGTCTGTAACACTGGTATTCGCCAGGAGTTAAAGTGAATCTAGGTGGGCTGGCCGAGTATGTCAATTTTGCCAGCCCAATCCCTGTGCAATTTGGCTCTTTTTGATTGGACCCCAGGTCTAATACACAGGGAAACATTGCCTTTGGCATTGGGGCGGTCAACATTGTTGGTCGCCCAATGGAGCATGCATAACAATTGGTCTCCCCCAAGGCCCTAGCGGTGTATTTCATCCACTTTAACCAGAGATTCTCATCAGGGACCCCCTCCACTTCCCCATTGTTCCATTCTTGGAGGAGAAAATCTTTCATAGTGGACGGGTTAGTTGAATTGACTCCGTCATCCCTTGACTGATTTACTCGGTCTTTTGCTGTTAGTGGATTAATGACAGTACCTGCTCCCTCTATATCTTTTGACTCCATCAAATATAATCTTAGACAAGTATCCCGTCCGTATTCGTCCGCGCAAGCCCAGTAAGTTCTTCTCATGTCCTCTTTAGTGACTTTTACTATTGTTACTACCATTTCCGTGGGGATGTCGTTATACCTTCTTATCCTCCATCTTGACGTCCAGCCCCCCCCCCGTCTCATATCTCCATCCCCCAGTATATCTAAATACCTGAGCCCAGGAACAATCTGCCGAGGGAGCTGAACATAAATACAACGGGATCTTATAATCCCCTGTTGCTTGCTTATCCGCTCTGATAAGATCCCTAATCCTAATTTTGAATCTTACTCCCCACCCCTCTCTGACTCCTATTTTGTAGATCACTCGCCCTTGACGGTCAGTATGTCGGGTCGCTTCCCTTTATTTCTTAAAAATGTTGTAAGGCCATAGCGTAATTGGTGCGAGGTGGTGGTGGATTTTGACCTACCACGACTATCGCCGAGACTATGATGCAGCTCAGGGTCACCCATATTCCCAAAAACCGCCAACCCTCTCCTGTCTTGAGTCCTTCTGCTCGGTACCACCCCATACTCACACCCTAGGAACACACTACAGTGATGATAGGTCTGGGTAGGAGATCTTCGTTGACAGAGATGACCCCCGCACCCTGTGGCGCAGTTCCGCTCGTCAACTCTGCGTGTGCTAAGCGGTGCTTGTATGTGGTCCTACCTTCTTGCAGTGGGTAACATGGACCCAGGTTCCTCTCTCTGCTATTCTAATGGCCAAGGTGGTTACCAACATAACCTGATAGGGCCCTTCCCAACAGGCCTGCTTCCAGTTTTCCTTCTAGTGACTGGATGCTCACCAGTCACCTGGTTAGATAGTGGGTCACCTTCTCCTTTAGTTCACCTGTGGGGCACAAAACCTCTGACATACGGGTGTGGTTAATAAACTATCTTCACACATGTTCAGATTAATGTAACAATTTCTGACTGCATTCTCTTTTTAGACTATCTAAAAAATGTTTTTTTTTTTTTTGTATTTTGTCCTCTCCTTCGTATATTATCTAATACAATTAGCCTCTTCCCCCCTCTTGACACATAGTTCTGCTTATGTGTCAATTTTTTCCACCTTCCTAAACATTCCCTTAGGTTATTTATCAACCAATTGCCATGCCTTTCATTTTTGAGATTGTCTTTTGCTTCTTTATTGCTCCTCCCACTTCCTTTGTCTTTATGGCGGCTAAATTCGACTTTCATTCAGTTCAGAATCAATTAGTAATCCAATCAAACAATCTCTTATCTTGTAAAAACTGCAATAATTATCAATAATAATTATAATAACTATTACGGATTATATTGTCCTTTTTCTGATGTTCCAATTGTAGTCTATTCATTTTAGTTTAAAATATAAAGTTATTTATAACAAATCTAGAACCCACCACAGGCTGGCGCTATTCCCCCAGCACAACAGCCAATGCCACTTGCTTCCTTGTAACGAAAATAAATTATAGTTTTAAAATTTTCCAATTATTTGTATTCCATGCCTTTCATTTTCAGTTCGCTATTCAATATATTTAACAGTTTTCTCTGATTCGGCCCCAATCAATAAAACAAATGCTTGATATTATTTATCAGCATACACTTAATGACATTCCTACCATTTGAACGATGTCCTGTCTCTCATTCCCCCCCTCTCCTGCTCCTTCCTACATTATGGGGGAGGCGCGGGAAACTTCCCTACAATCTATCTTCTTAGGAAATAATGTCATTCGTACTTGTAACATATTTTCATAGATTATTTAGAATACTACTAAAGTTATCTTATGCAACTTTTAATACACGTAAAAACTCTCTCTCCACCCATTCTCTATTGAATAAGTGCGTCTTCCTAGTTACCCCATAACCACGCCTCAAATCTTTTATTTAGCATTTAACCAACCAAATACTAAGTAGTATCCGGTTATCATTCATACCCGCCGTTGAATTTCCTCATACACACATATTTCACCTTATGCCATTCAAATGCCCAACACAACAGAATAGTTCAATTCAACTCTCTATTGGTTTTTCAAGTCGCTCCGGACCAGAGCGTCTGCCAACTGACCAAAAACGCAAATATTCTCCACCTTCTCACCCATTACGTACGTCTACGTTTGAGTGCGAAAGTTCAGACACATGCATAATAATATGCCATCTAGCAGACGCTTCTATCCAAAGCGACTTACAGTCATGCGTGCATACATTTTTTATTATGTGTGGTCCCGGGGATCGAACCCACTACCTTGGCGTTACAAGCGCCGTGCTCTACCAGCTGAGCTACAGAGGACCACATCGTTGGACTTTATAGGTACAGTGGGGAAAAAAAGTATTTAGTCAGCCACCAATTGTGCAAGTTCTCCCACTTAAAAAGATGAGAGAGGCCTGTTATTTTCATCATAGGTACACGTCAACTATGACAGACAAAATGAGGAAAAAAAATCCAGAAAATCACATTGTAGGATTTTTTATGAATTTATTTGCAAATCATGGTGGAAAATAAGTATTTGGTCAATAACAAAAGTTTCTCAATACTTTGTTATATACCCTTTGTTGGCAATGACACAGGTCAAACGTTTTCTGTAAGTCTTCACAAGGTTTTCACACACTGATGCTGGTATTTTGGCCCATTCCTCCATGCAGATCTCCTCTAGAGCAGTGATGTTTTGGGGCTGTCGCTGGGCAACACGGACTTTCAACTCCCTCCAAAGATTTTCTATGGGGTTGAGATCTGGAGACTGGCTAAGCCACTCCAGGACCTTGAAATGCTTCTTACGAAGCCACTCCTTCGTTGCCCGGGCGGTGTGTTTGGGATCATTGTCATGCTGAAAGACCCAGCCATATTTAATCTTCAATGCCCTTGCTGATGGAAGGAGGTTTTCACTCAAAATCTCACGATACATGGCCCCATTCATTCTTTCCTTTACACGGATCAGTCGTCCTGGTCCCTTTGCAGAAAAACAGCCCCAAAGCATGTTGTTTCCACCCCCATGCTTCACAGTAGGTATGGTGTTCTTTGGATGCAACTCAGCATTCTTTGTCCTCCAAACAAGACGAGTTGAGTTTTTACCAAAAAGTTATATTTTGACCATATGACATTCTCCCAATCCTCTTCTGGATCATCCAAATGCACTCTAGCAAACTTCAGACGGGCCTGGACATGTACTGGCTTAAGCAGGGGGACACATCTGGCAATGCAGGATTTGAGTCCCTGGCGGCGTAGTGTGTTACTGATGGTAGGCTTTGTTACTTTGGTCCCAGCTCTCTGCAGGTCATTCACTAGGTCCCCCCGTGTGGTTCTGGGATTTTTGCTCACCGTTCTTGTGATCATTTTGACCCCACGGGGTGAGATCTTGCGTGGAGCCCCAGATCGAGGGAGATTATCAGTGGTCTTGTATGTCTTCCATTTCCTAATTATTGCTCCCACAGTTGATTTCTTCAAACCAAGCTGCTTACCTATTGCAGATTCAGTCTTCCCAGCCTGGTGCAGGTCTACAATTTTGTTTCTGGTGTCCTTTGACAGCTCTTTGGTCTTGGCCATAGTGGAGTTTGGAGTGTGACTGTTTGAGGTTGTGGACAGGTGTCTTTTATACTGATAACAAGTTCAAACAGGTGCCATTAATACAGGTAATGAGTGAAGGACAGAGGAGCCTCTTAAATAAGAAGTTACAGGTCTGTGAGAGCCAGAAATCTTGCTTGTTTGTAGGTGACCAAATACTTATTTTCCACCATAATTTGCAAATAAATTCATTAAAAGTCCTACAATGTGATTTTCTGGATTTTTTTTCTCTCAATTTGTCTGTCATAGTTGACGTGTACCTATGATGAAAATTACAGGCCTCTCTCATCTTTTTAAGTGGGAGAACTTGCACAATTGGTGGCTGACTAAATACTTTTTTCCCCCACTGTACCTCTCAAATAATCGCTTTGTGGTGTTTTTAGCCAATTCTTAATTGACACGAATCATTTTTTCAAACATTTTACCCGTTGAACCAAATATATTGACTGCCATCCTCCTTTTCCCCTGCAGTCACGATGGTTAAATATTCCTTTGTCCCTGTTAAAGCATTTTCGCGCTTAAAAAAAACACACTCGCTGTCTCTAGCCCCTCCTTCCGCTGTTCTTTCAACTTAGTTCCAGTCTACATGCATCTGTTTGATCATAACTTCTAATTTTTCTACTTCGAGATGCCCAATAAATTCATACCTCTTCTCCCAAATGGATCCATAAAACATATTTCTTTCATCTCCCGTTAATTCTCGGACTTGTTTAGAAGATGTCTTTCCCATGGCGGAACAATAAGAAATCCCTCCCCCCTTTTTGTTTTTTAAATAATTCACTCCCGAATTATTTTCGTAGGAGCTAATCTCTTAGTGCGCCTCTTGCTTTTGTAATTAACCCTTTAAAATTATTTAACCCCTAACCCAGAGTTTCTATTTAAAACTCCGGTTTCATGAAAAGAGTAAGTTACCCAATTTTCCTCACGCGACTTATTTTTTCCTCCACCCCTGAAATAATGATCACGTCTCCCGAGGGATTAAGTCTCACACATATACGACCTTATCATCTGTCAAACTTGTTTGCAAAGTTCTAGCAAATGCCCAGTCGTATATAGAACTCCTGACACATCCCTCTCACACGATGATAATTATTTCCCTGTTTATACTGTCATACTGCAATTCGTACAATGACAATATTAACTAGTTTACATTTGTGATTGCAATTCACTTTCATGTCATTTCGGACTAGTTTTTTTTTTGTAATAGCTATTTACCTCTAGGATCAATTGCGGACCCTTCCTGTCGTAATAATTATTACCTTCTTTGACTTTGGTAACTAAGTTCAACTCATTTTACCAAAAGCCATGAATAAAAATTACTGACCTTTTCCTCGCAGTCTGGATTAAAATGCTTTTTCAAACTTGTTAACGTCTTTATCGTTCATAAAGAGTAATCACCGGCCTGTTTATTAACCTTAACGTCGAAGGCCAGGACTATTCTTCACGGATGCGATCACCCGGCCGTGCACGGATTTCGGTGTCTCTAGAACGATAAAGATGTATTAAGCTCCGCTCGAAGGACCAATCTGTCATGTGAATTTCTATCTCTAATTCAACCTAAGCTTGAATCATTACCAGAGGTTGTAAAGCTCTGGTTTTAATCATCAATGATTCAACGTCCACAATCCACAAGTAATTATCGGTAAATTTTATTCGAGGAGAGCTCTGCTCAAAAACACAAATATCCTGTTTTTTATACCCCTTGACAAACAAAGACACTATGCTCCTCCCACCTTTAGGTGGCTTTCTTAAACAGTTCCCGCCTTCCCCCTTGAATGGTTAGTAACGCCCCCTCTGTTAGTGGGTTGACACTACATGATAATTCTAACATTTATACTGTGTTTGGGGTGAAATTCTTTAGTCATTATTCTTAAAATCCAAATTAATCTAACACTTTGTTAAAACCACAATTGGAAAAAGCTGTAGATGCACAGCGGGACAGACAAAAAGCATCCCATGATGTGACACATCACACAGTACATCAGATTGTGGAAGGTGAAAAACCGGAGAGGGGGGTGGGTGTAAATGGGTGAAAGCAGTTGTAGAGCAAAAGAGGGGACCTCGATCATTTGTGGTCAGAATCGGTGAGGATCTGAGGCTCCAGCACCTGAATCATCTGTGGAAGGTAACTTGGGAAGACATGGTGGATGAAGGGGTGTCTCAACCGCATGGCCTGGAGGCCCTACCACCACTAAGGGGAGCACCGGCAGTGACTCCTCTGCCACATCTGCCAAACCCAGTGGCAGTCAAACAGTCAGAGACAGAAATAGAGCAAGGGGAACAAGGGCAGATGCCCACCACAAGCCCCACATCAAGCCCACCTGAAGACAGGCGATAGCCTGTCCACCAAAGGAAAGCCCTTATGAAACTTACCCTTAACAAAAAACAGGGGGAAAAAAGGGTGAGACCCAAAGACAGTAAAAAAAAGACATTGTTCTAAAGAGAATGCTTTGAGTGTTTAAACCATGGACTTTGAGAAGAAAAAAAGACTTAACTTGTTGTGTCATGAATGTTTAGAGCTCAGTAGCCGCCTGTGCGCGGTTGAGGTGATCGGGGACACGCGGGGTGCGCATGTGTTGTATTGTATGGCAGTCATGGAATAAACTATTAAACACTCTGAATCTGAATCTGAAAAAAAATCTAAGTTCAGTAGTTATTTTCTAGTTATGTATAGCCAGAAGTCATAGTATAACCTTCTCAAGGGTACACCACAGGATATTACAGGAACAAACAAAACAATGTAAGGCATACAGAATTTGTCTTAATCTGCATTTACTGTAGTTAATTTAGACAACACCACTAACAGAGTGGAGCTTGGTCCCATATCAAGGCTGGCATTGCTCCATCAGTGATCATTTGCAGACTGGGTTACTGCAGAACACATTGGGTGCATCCCAATAATATCTCCTTTCTAAAGTGTGTACTTGTTCACTTCCCTTTGTAGATTTGAAAGGAAATTGTTGGTATATGGAAACTCCGTCTAGCCCATGCCTACGCCAATCCAATGCTTTGAAACATTTGTGGGGAGGAGTGAACGAGTGCACACTTTAGGAGGAAAGATAGATTATTGGGATGCACCCCCAGGATATGTTATTCCACCCTCCAGACAGTCAGACAACGCATGGTTCTCTCACACTGTATCTTCTCCACGTATCTTTCATTATTTCATCGTCAATGAGTGTGTCCAAGTGCACTGGCAGTAGTGGACATTACCAGTCCAGGGTTAGTTTAATCTGTTCAGAGACTAATTGATTGTTCTGTCTGCCTGTCTGTCTGTCTGCGCGTGTGTGTGTCGCGGTCTATCTGTCGATTCCCCCATCTAGCTGGAGGCAGAGGCTGTGTTCCGCGCCATCACCATTGCCAGCCAGACCAACTGCCCCCTGTATGTGACCAAGGTCATGAGCAAGAGTGCTGCCGACATCATCTCACAGGCCAGGAAAAAAGGTACACAGATTTCCAGTGTGGCTGTGATTGTGCTTTAATTACTGTGTCAAGTAGGCAGCTAACTTAGATATTTGTTAGTCACAATGAATGCATAGAAACAAGATAATCTATCTTTCATATCAGAACACGAGAGCTATGTCTTTACCTGCATGTCCCTTGAAGGTAGTTCAAGGTTGTCCTCACCTCTTAGTGCAACTTCACTGTTGCCTCCTAAACTCTCCTATTCTGTCAGATGATAGGAATGCACCTATGCCCTTATATGCTGATTCTGGTGTCTTGGTTCACACTCTAGATTTACACTATAGGTCTGGTCTGGTAGACACACCGGATACAAGATGAATCCCTAACTTATCACCCGGAGCTCACCGTAGCGAACTGTCAGAAACCTGTCTCTGCCATTCATCAGGAGCCCACGGCGGAGCAGGGAGAGAGAGTAGGCTTCTTGTACACGGTGGAGAGAAAGATATACACTTTTTGAAATGAGAGGAAAAAGAGAGGAAGGGAAAAATGCTGTTTGCATGTCCTCATGTAGGAAACATGTGAGGGGCGCTTGGTGCAGAGATGTGCTCCCAGGAGGCCTTGCTTTCATCACTGGCTGGCCCCGTTCCTCAGCGCTGACATACGATTCGTCATGTCAGAGCCCAAAGAGGGAATGAGACTTGCAAATAGCAGCAGGAAAGATAAACATGAGGCAAGGCTAGGAGACCATCAGATCTTTCCTACAAGCTGCTTTAGCTGGATTTCAGACCTTTTAGTTCCGTTAGATTCTCCCTTAAGTTCTTATGTTTCAAGCTTTACTTGTCACATGCACAAGTACAGTGAAATGCTTAACTTGCAAGCCCTTCCCAACAGTGCAGTATTCAATATCAAAATAGGATTTAAAAAAACTGGAGAAATGAGAAAGGAAGAAAAAAACTGGAGAATTGAAGCTATACATCTTTACAGGGTCAGTGCCAGTACCACATTTAAAATGTGCAAGGATACTGGACATTGTAAATTTGCTACTGGCACTGACCTGGGATAAACCTAGCAAGTTAACGAGTGAGTACATTTTTAGGAACATAAGGTGAGTTGATTTAATGTAGTCTCACCCTGGGTGATAACATCTTGTTCCCAGGTAACGTTGTGTTTGGCGAGCCAATCACGGCCAGCCTTGGGACTGACGGGACACACTATTGGAGCAAGAACTGGGCCAAGGCCGCCTCCTTTGTGACATCACCCCCCCTCAGCCCGGACCCAACCACCCCAGACTACCTGAACACATTACTGGCCAGGTAAAGAGCGCCCCCTGTTGACTGTATGTCACTCCACTGACCTATCATGTCCTCGCTGCATCTTTCCTCTCTGTGTTCTATGTCAATTGAAGGGTGCAAACATATTAGACTGAAAGGGTTCTGGAGGCGCTTCTAACCTCATGATGGATTTATTATTTATTGAACCTTTATTTTGACAGGGAGTCATGCTGAGACCAAGGTCTCTTTTACAGATCAATACACATCAATATACACTATACACATCAATAGACATCAAAATACACATCCAAATACACATCAATATACACATTAATATACACATCAATATACACTATACACATCAATAGACATCTAAATACACATTAATATACACAAAAATATACACTATACACATCAATATACACACTGATATACACTATACACATCAATAGACATCAAAATACACATCAATATACACCTTGATATACACTATACACATCAATATACACATTGATATACACTATACACATCAATTAACATCAAAATACACATCAATATACACCTCGAAATACACTATACACATCAATATACACATCATTATACACATCAATATACACTATACACATCAATATACACATCAATATACACTATACACCTCAATATACACATCAATATACACTATACACATCAATATACACCATACACATCAATATACACCTCAATATACACTATACACATCAATATACACTATACACATCAATATACACACCAATATACACATCAATATACACATATGGTTGCACAAGTTGGTCTGTTTGTCTGTTAGGAATGTAAGAGTGCTGTGTAAGAAAGGGAAGACATCTATAGCTGGAAAGAGGAGACCTTGGCACTTGACTCAGAGTAATCTATCTACTTTAGTCCCAGCTCTGCTGTGTTGTCTCAGCTATTCCAGCTGGATGTGAGCTTTTCCAGCTTTTCTGTATGGAATAAACTTTTTCCAGTTTGACATTTACATTTAAGTCATTTAGCAGACACTCTTATCCAGAGCGGCTTACAAATTGGTGCATTCAACTTAGGATAGCCAGTGGGACAACCACCCTTTCCCCCCTAGAAGGATTGCTGTTATACTATTCCAGGTATTCCTTAAAGAGGTAGGGTTTCAAGTGTCTCCGGAAGGTGGTCAGTGACTCCTTAAGGCAGGGGTGTTAAACTAATTCCACAGAGGGCTGAGCGTCTGCAGGTTTTAGTTTTTTCCTTTCAATTAAGCCCTAGACAACCAGGTGAGGGTTCCTTACTAATCAGTGACCTTAATTCATCAATCAAGTACAAGGGTGGAGTGAAAACCTGCAGGCACTCGGCCCTCCGTGGAATGAGTTTGACACATGTGCCTTAAGGGATCGTAGATAACAGCTATGAAGTAAAGCAATTATTTCAGGTCTGAAGCAGTACCTGTCAGAGTTTTACTCTGGAAGAGTGTTTTAATAATTGAATCTGCTGCTGAAAGCCACTGTTGTGTGCGATGTACAACATACTGCATCTCAACACATTTCTTACTACTGTTATCTGCTAAATGACTAAAATGTAATGTAATGTAAATAGCATGTTTCAGCTGCACAGCCATGGCTAAGTTTTCTCTCTCTCTCTCTCTCTCTCTCTCTCTCTCTCTCTCTCTCTCTCATTCTCTCTCTCTCTCTCCTCTCTCTCTCTCTCTCTCTCTCTCTCGCTCTATCTCTCTCTCTCTCTCTCATCTCTCTCTCTCTCTCTCTCTCTCTCTTCTCTCTCTCTCCCTCCCTCCCAGTGGTGACCTGAACGTGACTGGCAGTGCCCACTGCACCTTCAGCGTGGCCCAGAAGGCCATAGGGAAGGATGACTTCACTCAGATCCCTGAGGGTGTGAACGGAGTGGAGGAGAGGATGTCCCTCATCTGGGAGAAGGCTGTGGTGAGGATGGATGGATCGATGGACACCTGTCTGCATTGCATATGTCTCTCTCTCTTTCTTTGCATGCGTCCAAAAAAGCACCCTATTCCCTTTATAGTGCACTACTTTTGACTTGGGCCCATATGGCTCTGGTCAAAAGTGTACTATATAGGGAATAGGGTGCTATTTCGAATGCATACTCCGAGTCGGTATTCATGTCATAATAAGGAATTCCCATCGACCATGCCCACAAATTGGGGAAAGCAAACATTATTTTCCATTGACCCCCAGTGTGATTTTTTTAAATACTTAAATTGTGGGGACCTGTTGTCCAAGTAGGCTACACATAGCTATGTGTGTGGAAAACATTTCATTACAGGTAAGATATTTAACTTGTTTAGTATAGTCCGTGTGTAACTCCACTCACTACTTGTAGCTGTATAGTCCGTTTGTTTGTGTTGTTGGTCTTGGTTAGCTTAATGTTCTGGTTGGTAGCTAGCTAGCACTCACTCACGGTGCTCATGAAAAGGGGCATGAGGGAAGCCCTACAATATTTAGTTTTTCTAAGTAGTGAAAACACTTGGGAGCAGACAATGTTGAAAGTAATCTTTCCTTACAAATAGTTTTGTAATTGACTTAAACAAGCAGACAACAAGAACATTATTAAAAAATTGTCAAGTTTTTGCTGTGAGCCAATGGGGTATATTTTGCTGTGAGACATGGGTTGTTTTCCCCCAAGGTGGGCGGGGCCACAACGTTCTATTTAATCCCGACTGGGACCATCCTGTCTCTTTGTTTCATGTCCTTGTTTTCTCAGCTTCGCTATCCCTCACTAACCCTCTCTTTACATTGTTCCCTCTGAACCATTTTAGCTACTCTGAGTACTTCCTCCAGTTAATGCTGCACATTCTCCACAGTTCACTGCAGCTCCTCCTCTGTCCTCTTCCCTAATGCCTCTGGTAGTGTGGTTTAGTGTTTCTATGACTACTCTTGTTTTCGCTCTCTATCTCTGGATCTGTCCCCCCACAATATAACAGTATAGATCTATTTTTTTTTCTCCTAATTGTTGTTCTTGCTCATTCATGTGCAAACAGACTTGGGTTTGTATTTTCTTGACAGCTGTGTTATGAATGAAGAGTTGTGGTGCAGCTTTGCCTCAGAATTATGGCAAAAAACACATGGTCTCAGCTCTAGCATTGACAGGGTGTGTGTGTGTGTGCGTGCGTGTGTGTGTGTGTGTGTTCTTGCGTGCAACTACAAGAGTACCACCACCCACCAGTCAGCTTGAAAAGCGTCTTTATTTAACTTCTTTGTTTAGGTAGCACTTCACCATTATAACATTTTGACAAGTCAGCATTTTTTCCTGCTCACTCAGACCACTGGCAAGATGGACGAGAACATGTTTGTTGCTGTGACGAGCACCAACGCCGCCAAGATCCTAAACCTGTACCCCCGTAAGGGCCGGATAGCTGTGGGCTCCGATGCTGACCTGGTCATTTGGGACTCAGATGCTGTCCGCACCATCACCGCCAAGACACACAACTCGGTAAGAGGTCAAAGGCTAGGGGAGAAGAAAGTTCACATGTATTTATTTTTTAGGGAAAGTGGTTTTGCCTCTGGAAGCAACGTCAGCACAAGAACTGTTCGTCGGGAGCTTCATGAAATGGGTTTCCATGGTCAAACATAAAAGACTTAAAAACATGAAACATACATGAACTATTGACAGCGACTACAAATCAAATCAAATCAAATTTTATTGGTCACATACACGTGTTTAGCAGATGTTATTGCGGGTGTACCGAAATGCTTGTGCTTCTAGTAATATCTAACAATTTCACAACATATACCCAATACACAAAAATCTAAATAAGGAATGAATTAAGAATATATACAGTGAGGGAAAAAGTATTTGATCCCCTGCTGATTTTGTACGTTTGCCCACTGACAAAGAAATGATCAGTCTATAATTTTAATGGTAGGTTTATTTGAACAGTGAGAGACAGAATAACAACAGAAAAATCCAGAAAAACGCATGTCAAAAATGTTATAAATTGATTTGCATTTTAATGAGGGAAATAAGTATTTGACCCCTCTGCAAAACATGACTTAGTACTTGGTGGCAAAACCCTTGTTGGCAATCACAGACGTCAGACGTTTCTTGTAGTTGGCCACCAGGTTTGCACACATCTCAGGAGGGATTTTGTCTCACTCCTCTTTGCAGATCTTCTCCAAGTCATTAAGGTTTCGAGGCTGACGTTTGGCAACTCGAACCTTCAGCTCCCTCCACAGATTTTCTATGGGATTAAGGTCTGGAGACTGGCTAGGCCACTCCAGGATCTTAATGTGCTTCTTCTTGAGCCACTCCTTTGTTGCCTTGGCCCTGTGTGTTTTGGGTCATTGTCATGCTGGAATACCCATCAACGACCCATTTTCAATGCCCTGGCTGAGGGAAGGAGGTTCTCACCCAAGATTTGATGGTACATGGCCCCGTCCATCGTCCCTTTGATGCGGTGAAGTTGTCCTGTCCCCTTAGCAGAAAAACACCCCCACAGCATAATGTTTCCACCTCTATGTTTGACGGTGGGGATGGTGTTCTTGGGGTCATAGGCAGCATTCCTCCTCCTCCAAACACGGCGAGTTGAGTTGATGCCAAAGAGCTCGATTTTGGTCTCATCTGACCACAACACTTTCACCCAGTTCTCCTCTGAATCATTCAGATGTTCATTGGCAAACTTCAGACGGGCCTGTATATGTGCTTTCTTGAGCAGGGGGACCTTGCGGGCGCTGCAGGATTTCAGTCCTTCACGGTGTAGTGTGTTACCAATTGTTTTCTTGGTGACTATGGTCCCAGCTGCCTTGAGATCATTGACAAGATCGTCCCGTGTAGTTCTGGGCTGATTCCTCACCGTTCTCATGATCATTGCAACTCTACGAGGTGAGATCTTGCATGGAGCCCCAGGTCGAGGGAGATTGACAGTTCTTTTGTGTTTCTTCCATTTGCGAATAATCGCACCAACTGTTGTCACCTTCTCACCAAGCTGCTTGGCGATGGTCTTGTAGCCCATTCCAGCCTTTTGTAGGTCTACAATCTTGTCCGTGACATCCTTGGAGAGCTCTTTGGCCTTGGCCATGGTGGAGAGTTTGGAATCTGATTGATTGATTGCTTCTGTGGACAGGTGTCTTTTATACATGTAAAAAGCTGAGATTAGTGTGCTCCTAATCTCAGCTCGTTACCTGTATAAAAGACACCTGGGAGCCAGAAATCTTTCTGATTGAGAGGGGGTCAAATACTTATTTCCCTCATTAAAATGCAAATCAATTTATAACATTTTTGACATGCGTTTTTCTTGATTTTTTTGTTGTTATTCTGTCTCTCACTGTTCAAATAAACCTACCATTAAAATTATAGTCTGGTCATTTCTTTGTCAGTGGGCAAACGTACAAAATCAGCAGGGGATCAAATACTTTTTTCCCTCACTGTACATAGATGGACGATGTAATGACACAAAACATTTCCTGAGCTAATAATGTAAAAAATAATACATAAAAAAACAAAATACCGCAACGTTTCCTAAGAGCCAGTCGCATAGGGGGATACAATGAATGCAAGAGACTGAATACACCAAAGTGGAGGAGTCCTCACATGATAGTCAGCATCTCAATGACCTTATAGTGCATTTTACATTTAAGCCATCAATGTGCCAGGGTCCGTCAGGTCACTGTGGTTTAACAGGACAAGGAGGAGTGTCTGTTAAACCACATATGTGCTGACAGTCACATCATAGCAGGCTTGGTGAAATCTGTCTGCTGGTTATTGTGGACATTCCGTTTTTGTCAGAGATCTGCGCCGCTGCAAGGGAAACATGGTTTTCCAACGCTGGCGTGCTTCCAGTGACCTTTCAGTTTCTCCGAATGGAAATGAACTCCCTGTAGACTCCCTGCACACAGGAGCCCAGAGCGTACACTACAGTGCTGGGTTAAACACAGGAAGTGTCCACTCAGGAAATCAAGCTCTTCCTGCTGCAGACACAGCGAACGAGGGAGTGAGCGAGAGAGAAAGAGACAGAGAGAGCTAAGAGAAAAGCTGAATAGTACAATGAAGAGGTGTGGAAAGACAGAAACACGGAGAGAGTTAGAGAACGACAAAGAGAGGAGGAGAAAGAAAGAGTTGGAAAAAGATGGGACAAGTTTTCAATGGCTTTTCCATACATGGTAAAGATCCAGCGAGACCCAAGGTTCTTGCATAATGATGTCAGCTTGTCATTTCCTGCTTGTAGCCCCTCCAGACAACAGAACAAGCACATAAGAACACAGAACAAGGGCTCCTGTCCATGTTAATGATGGCTACGGTGATCTAAGGTGCACGGTAGTTAAGTGCTTTACAACCTATCTGTGTATCCCTCCCTCTGTAGTAAATGCAAGTATCTGAAATGTTTTGATCTGGTTAGCTTTGTTTATGTTGTTGCACATAGAACACAGCCGTGACATCATACTTGGTAGACATGGAGCCTTATGTCCAGTCTAGAGGAGGCTGGTGGGAGGAGCTATAGGAGGACGGGCTCATTGTAATGGCTGGAATGGAATCAATGGAACAGAGTCAAACATGTGGTTTCCATATGTTTGCTGTGTTTGATACGGTTCCATTAATTCCATTCCAGTCTTTAAAATGAGCCCGTCTTCCTATAGCTCTTCCCACCAGCCTCCTCTGGTCCTGTCCTGGCCTGAATCTGTAACACACTAAACAGCAGGGCCGTGTGCACAGGAACACACAGACCATAGAAGAGAAGGGGGCAACAGATTGCAAAAAACGATGTTGAGAGAGACAGAATGATAGACGGAACAAGAGAGTTTAGTGGCAGGAGAATAGAAAGAGGGGGAATGGATCAGAGAGGACCAGCGAGAGTGAAGGAGAGTAGGAAGAAAGTGGGAGAGAAAGTGGTAGAGAGGATAGAGAAGAGAGAGAGGGAGGCGGGAGAAGTAGAGAGAGTAGAGAGAGTAGGCGAGTAGAGAGAGTAGAGAGGGTAGAGAGAGAGAGGAGAGAGAGAGGGAGAGAGAGGTAGACGGGAGAGAGAGGAGAGAGAGAGAGAGAGAGTAAGCTAGAGAAGTAGAGAGAGAGAGGGAGAGAGAGAGGAAGAGAGATGGAGAGAGAGGAGGCGAGAGGAGAGAGCGAGAGAGAGAGAGGAGAGGAGAGAGAGAGAGAGAGAGAGAGAGAGAGAGAGAGAGAGAGAGAGAGAGAGAGAGAGAGAGAGAGAGTGTAGAGAGAGTGATGCTTGGAGTCATAAGCCCCAGCTGTGCGATGGCAGCTGTTTGTCTTTATATGCCAAATGGAGGTGTATGAGAAACAGGCCGACTGGATGATGAGGAATTAAGAGGAGGTGGAGGAGGAGGAGGAGGAGGAGGGTTATTTCTCTCTCTTCTCCAACACATTGTTAATAAAGGCAGAACCATCGTCTTATCTCTACAGAGACGGCCTGCCTGCCTACCCAGCCGCCCGACAACCCGCCTCCTCTTTTCCTCTGTCCCCACAGCCAAACTGGGTCTGTATCTCCATGACTCTACTTCCCTCAATACGTTCTCTGTCTTACTACAACACATAGAATGGCCTCTCATCAGACCAGTTTAAAGAGCGATATGTCCAAATCTGATTTACTTCAGTGGAATTAGCCGGCTCTTCATCTGAATTAGTGTTTCGGCTCATAATGTAAATCACAGACAGTCTTTGGTGCGTGAGGGCATGCGTTTCAGAGTCCCTTTATTGTTAATTTTTTCCATACATGTAAACTCTCCGGCTCCATTTGTGTCAGACGAGTGACTGTCAGACTGCAGAAAACTGGAAATAGTTGCGTTTACGTGGGAGCCGGTTGCTTCTGCATTGCTGTATTGTCATTTCCTCTGCTTGAAAGAGCGTTATGAGCACTTGAAAGGTAATGCAGCTGCTCATCGTTTGTTGAACTGGGTTGTGCTTGTGAATCGCTACAGTAAGGAACAGCAGCATAACAGAATGTACTGGGGTGCAACAGAGGGAAAAGTAGGCTAGAGTTTTTGTTTTTGTCATTTTGTCATTTGTCATTCTCCTCTCTTTAGTTGGCCTAACACCACTGACCAAGACATACAATATCCAGTTAAAGATGCACTATGGTTGCTAAAATTGCACTATTTCCTGGTTGCTAAAATTGTAATAGTTCGCCTAATTTCAGTTTATGTGACAAAAAAAGCAAGTATAGTGTAGAAAATCATTGTACTGCTGTGAAATATATTTTCCATAACCAAAAATATTGTATTTTCAGCTGTTTGAAGCTGGTGTACAAAACCGAAACACATAGAACAGATACATCTCATTCCAAAATCATGGGCATTAATATGGAGTTGGTCCCCCTTTTGCTGCTATAACAGCTTCCACTCTTCTGGGAAGGCTTTCCACTAGATGTTGGAACATTGCTGCGGGGACTTGCTTCCATTCAGCCACAAGAGCATTAGTGAGGTCGGGCACTGATGTTGGGTGATTAGGCCTGGCTCGCAGTCGGCATTCCAATTAATCCCAAAGGTGTTCGATGGGGTTGAGGTCAGGGCTCTGTGCAGGCCAGTCAAGTTCTTCCACACCGATCTCGACAAACCATTTCTGTATGGACCTCGCTTTGTGCACAGGGGCATTGACATGCTGAAACAGAAAAGGGCCTTCCCCAAACTGTTACCACAAAGTTGGAAGCACAGAATCATCTAGAATGTCATTGTATACTGTAGATTTAAGATTTCCCTTCACTGGAACTAAAGGGCCTAGCCCGAACCATGAAAAACAGCCCCAGACCATTATTCCTCCTCCACCAAACTTTACAGTTGGCACTATGCATTCGGGCAGGTAGCATTCTCCTGGCATACGCCAAACCCATATTTGTCCATTGGACTGCCAGATGGTGAAGAGTGATTCATCACTCCAGAGTCCAATGGCGGTGAGCTTTAAACCACTCCAACCAAACGCTTGGCGTTGCACATGGTGATCTTAGGCTTGTTTGCGGCTGCTCGGCCATGGAAACCCATTTCATGAAGCTCCCGACGAACAGTTCTTGTGCTGACGTTGCTTCCAGAGGCAGTTTGTACCTCGGTAGTGAGTGTTGCAACTGAGAACAGACTATTTTTACACGCTACGCGCTTCAGCACTTGCCGGTCCTGTTCTGTGAGCTTGTGTGGCCTAACACTTTGCGGCTGAGCCGTTGTTGCTCCTAGACGTTTCCACTTCACAATAACAGCACTTACAGATGACTGGGGCAGCTCTAGCAGGGCAGAAATTTGACCAACTGACTATGACGATGCCACGTTGAAAGTCACTGAGCTCATCAGTAAGGCCATTCTACTGTTAATGTTTGTCTATCATTTTACATTTACATTTTTGTCATTTAGCAGACGCTCTTATCCAGAGCGACTTACAGTTAGTGAGTGCATACATTATTTATTCATATTTTTTTCATACTGGCCCCCCGTGGGAATTGAACCCACAACCCTGGCGTTGCAAACGCCATGCTCTACCAACTGAGCTACATGCCAGCCATACCCTCCCCTACCCTGGACGACGCTGGGTCAATTGTGCGCCGCCCCATGGGTCTCCCGGTAGCGGCCGGCTACGACAGAGCCTGGATTCGAACCAGGATCTCTAGTGGCACAGCTAGCACTGCGATGCAGTGCCTTAGACCACTGCGCCACTCGGGAGGAGATTGCCTGGCTGTGTGCTCGATTTTATACACCTGTCAGCAACGGGTGTGGCTGAAATAGTCGAATCCACTAAATTGAAGGGGTGTCCACATACCTTTGGATATATAGTGTGTACTGCTTCTTAGACTTGCTTTCTTTCAATGAGAATGGCAGATCTATAACTCACATTTTTGTGTGAATATGGTCGGGTCGCACAAAAAGTTATATATTGCAGCTTTAATGTATAACGTGTGTGTTTGTCTGTGTGTGTTTGACTGTGTGTTTGTTTGTGTGTGTTTGACTCAGTGTGTATTTGACTCTGTGTGTGTTTGACTCTGTGTGTGCACATGTGCCTGCGGTCATGTCTCTGCTTGTGTGTTTTCAAGGCTGCTGAGTACAATGTGTTTGAGGGCATGGAGCTCCGTGGTGCCCCCTCGGTGGTGATCTGCCAGGGGAAGCTGGTGCTGGAGGATGGGAACCTGCACGCCACCTCCGGGGTCGGCCGCTTTATCCCCTGCATCCCCTTCCCGGACTTCGCCTACAAGCGCGTCAAGGCCAGGAAGCAGGTAAAAGATGCTCACCTCTCTCCTTACTTTCTAGTCAACATCTGAGTAACTGTCTCTGGACTCTGAGTAACTGTCTCCATTTTATACAATTATTGAACAATATAAAAGTATTTCCAATGAACATATTCCCAACGCTTCAGTTCTGTCTTAGAATACGTTTTATATGGATTGTTTTGTCACGGGACAGTGTTAGTATGTGACACTGAGCCAAGGTAAAGGACTGTGAGGTCTGTGAGGCGGCATGTAGCCTAGCGGTTAAGAGCGTTGGGCCCGTAAACGAAAGGTTGCTGGTTTGAATCCTTGAGCCAACCAGGTGAAAAATCAGTCAATGTGGATAACAGTTGCTTAATGACTAATAAAAAAGGTCAGTGAGTTGGGGACATCTGTGAGTGTTTTCTCAGTGGTTAGGGATTAATCAGCACTAATCTGATGCAGAGCTGAGATGAGCCATCCAGCACCGACAAACATGGAAGATGGCACTACAGCTTTCCATTAAAGACAGCTTAGCTTTACGCAAATGCACAATGCTGCTGTGGCTCAGCCCATGCCACACATCATCAGACTTACCATCAATCTCAATGTACTTTACATACCTGAATGGTAATCCGAAGTGTGTTCAATGGAGTCAGATTGTAATCAGATTGCTTAGCTGTTTATCACACCAACCCGAACTGTACACAAAGGGCATCTGTCCTCTCTGGCGGCAGTGGCACTGTCTGTCATGGAAAGCACAAGATAAAAATAGCTAACAGAGTGTGTAATGCAGATGGGAATTGCCAGAAACTGCAGTAATGGTGTCCTAACTACCTCTATGGGTGATCTCATTATATCCAGGAGGAAGACAGACATTTGATGTAGGTGATGGAGAATGGGGGGATGGAAGGAGGGTAAGGGGAATGGGGAGATGGAAGGAGGGTAAGGGGAATGGGGAGATGGAAGGAGGGTAAGGGGAATGGGGGGGATGGAAGGAGGGTAAGGGGAATGGGGAGATGGAAGGAGGGTAAGGGGAATGGGGAGATGGAAGGAGGGTAAGGGGAATGGGGAGATGGAAGGAGGGTAAGGGGAATGGGGGGATGGAAGGAGGGTAAGGGGAATGGGGGGATGGAAGGAGGGTAAGGGGAATGGGGGGATGGAAGGAGGGTAAGGGGAATGGGGGATGGAAGGAGGGTAAGGGGAATGGGGAGATGGAAGTAGGGTAAGGGGAATGGGGGGATGGAAGGAGGGTAAGGGGAATGGGGGGTGGAAGGAGGGTAAGGGGAATGGGGAGATGGAAGGAGGGTAAGGGGAATGGGGGGATGGAAGGAGGGTAAGGGGAATGGGGAGATGGAAGGAGGGTAAGGGGAATGGGGGGATGGAAGGAGGGTAAGGGGAATGGGGGATGGAAGGAGGGTAAGGGGAATGTGGAGATGGAAGTAGGGTAAGGGGAATGGGGGGATGGAAGGATGGAAGGAGGGTAAGGGGAATGGGGGGATGGAAGGAGGGTAAGGGGAATGGGGGGGATGGAAGGAGGGTAAGGGAAATGTGGGGATGGAATGAGGGTAAGAGAAATTGGGGGCATGGAAGGAGGGTAAGGGGAATGGGGGGATGGAAGGAGGGTAAGGGGAATGTGGGGATGGAATGAGGGTAAGGGGAATGGGGGCATGGAAGGAGGGTAAGGGAAATGGGGAGATGGAAGGAGGGTAAGGGGAATGGGGAGATGGAAGGAGGGTATGGGGAATGGGGGGATGTAAACAGGTGATGGGGGATGGGAGGATGGGGTGGTATGTGTGGGAGATAAGTGTTATCTCAGACTTGAGGATTCATCTCAGGGGCGTTGGCTGTTGGCTGTGGGTTGCATACTGTAACAACTGACTGCCAGGGAGAGCCTGTTGTAGCAATGTGTAATGGTTTTGAAGGGATACGATGTGTCCATGGGGTTGCTCATATTACTGGTGTTGGTGGATACTCAACAGGAAGTGTGCTATTTTAGGTGGATATTTCAACACAGTGGGTTATATTATATGAGTTGTGTTCTACTTGAATGGGCTACCCTCCAATTCTGGCATCATTCTGTTTTTCCCTAGACTATAGAGATGTTTCTTTGGTGAGACCTATGTATTAATGCAATTTTGATCTTGGTTTCGGTAAGTGTTTTCTGATGCTCCTAGCTCAGCTTCCAGGGATTCCTTAGTCACATGACCCTAGGACAGAGGACAGCTGCTGGCATGTTCAATAAGAAGTGAGTCTGTCAGTAAATCTGGAAGTGCTTTCCTTAGGAAAACACTGGGTGAAATATGCATTTGCACAAAGCATTCTACAAACAACCCCATGAATCTAATTCCAAACAGGTATTGTCATGGAGAACTGTTATTAAGTTACCAACAGAAATTATTATCTCTCTCTCTCTCTCTCTTTATCTCTCTCTCTCGTCTATCTCCCTCTCTTTGTCCATCTCTCTCCTTCTCTCTCCCTCGATCTACCCACTCTCTCTCTCTTTATCTCTCTCCCCCCCCCCCCCCCTCTCTCAGTTGGCAGTTCTGCGGGCAGTGCCCAGGGGCATGTATGATGGTCCTGTGTCTGACTTCTCGCCCATGTCCCGTGGCGGTACACCCTCAGCGTCTGCCCGTAACTCCCCCACCAAGCAGCCTGTGAGGAACCTGCACCACTCCGGCTTTAGCTTAGCAGGTAACCCTGCACAGCGTGGTGAGCTTCAGCAACCTTTTCATTTACCCATCTGTCTTCCCATCCCTGGCTGTCATAGGAAGTGCCAGGAACCTGACCCACACACACACATACACAAGCAAGCAAGCACACACACATACACACAAGCAAGCACGCCCACACACACACACACACACACACACACACACACACACACACACACACACACACACACACACACACACACACACACACACACACACACACACACACACACACACACACACACACACACACACACTCAACAGTCAGCATTGACATATTACAATGCACTTCACACATCATACAGTAGGTCAACTTTGCCATTTGTCTGTGAAAGTTACAATAACTTTCAGGTGAAATCTGACATTTTACCATAATCACATTTTAAGCCTTAATTTCATAATTTGTTTGTGGTAAGTAATGCACACAGCACAATACTTTTGTCCCTCAGCCGTCCTGGTGCTTCCAGACAGTGCTGTTTATGTCCTTCAGCTGTCCTGGTGCTTCCAGACAGTGCTCTTTATGTCCTTCAGCTGTCCTGGTGCTTCCAGACAGTGCTCTTTATGTCCCTCAGCCGTCCTGGTGCTTCCAGACAGTGCTCTTTATGTCCCTCAGCCGTCCTGGTGCTTCCAGACAGTGCTCTTTATGTCCCTCAGCTGTCCTGGTGCTTCCAGACAGTGCTCTTTATGTCCCTCAGCTGTCCTGGTGCTTCCAGACAGTGCTCTTTATGTCCCTCAGCCGTCCTGGTGCTTCCAGACAGTGCTGTTTATGTCCCTCAGCCGTCCTGGTGCTTCCAGACAGTGCTGTTTATGTTTCTCAAGTCATTTTGTTATTTCTTTACTTTCTGTCACAACATTGATTTGATTGATTTCAGCTTCACACAGATTTATCTTGGTTCTCTCTCTCTTTCTCTCTCTCTCTCTCTCTCTCTCTCTCTCTCTCTCTCTCTCTCTCTCTCTCTCTCGCTCTCTCATAATATCTTTATGCATCTTAATTAAATATACAGTATGTTCTAAGATCTTGCATCTCACTTTCTTAGTCATTGCCTGCCTAATGAAGCTTGTCTAATGAGTGGGTTGAATGAGGCTGATGATAATTTATTTAGCTAAAGTTACATTATTCACATAACCAATAGCAGAGACTAGTTGAGTGTTGAGTGACAGGGCGATTGTATACATCTGCAACCTCGTATCACTAGGTACAACCTTTCAGGGAGGAGCCAAGTAAACAATAGTTTAACTGGAACAATTGATGTGTGATGTACTGATGCAGGAGGTGGAGGGTGACCTGCATTGGAAAGTATTTAGTGAGGGTTATTCCCATCCCTTCCAGAGAACCAGAGAGCCTGCTTTCTTTCCCCAGCCTGTGTGTTTATAATACAGGCCTGGCCTATTCACTCCCTCTGGCTTCCCACTGTTAGGCTACTAGCTACTCATTCTGGGAATAGACATCCTTCTCACCCACCTCCAGTACACAAAAGAACACACACACACACACTTACACCTACGTGCACACAAACCTACAGGGTTGATATACTGGATATATTTCTCTGTCTTCAGATGTGAAGTAACCTTGTCTGTGTTTTGTCATGCAGAGAGAGTGAATTCTGCCTAGCATTCTACAGTTCTACAGTATACTAGACCCTGGCCTGGAGTGAGTTTAAGATTTAAGACAGTAGGCGTAAATCTCTCCTTGTCCAATATGTCAATTTAATCCAGGGCTAATCCCAATCCCGTTGGCCTTTATTCCAGAGGTCTCCAAGGAGGGCCAAGGTCAGGTCACCTAGTTGGTTTGTCGTGTGATGAACGATAGTCGCTAGTGAAGGAAACTGGCTGGAGCTGGCTTTGTTAATGGGAAGCTTAAAGAGACTGTGCTATAATCCTGTTTGTCTGTTAGGTCCCCCCACCACAGAGGATGTCCGGCCAGCGGGACGCCGCATCGTAGTTCCCCCTGGTGGTCGCTCCAACATCACATCCCTCAGCTAAGAGGTTGAACCAGGAGAGAGACCAGTCAGAAGATGGCAACAGCCATTGGGAGAAGATGGAGACATGATTAGTTTAAACAAGTTAAGTTGAGTAAAACACTGAATCCTCATGCCTTACCAACCACAATGCTACCTGCTTAAGCTTCTAAAAGCACAGTACTCCTCCTCCTAGGGAATTGCAGGTCAGTCACTAGAACAAAATATTAATACATTTGTTTACAAAAAGATTGGGTTTGCATGCTCTGGAATAACAGGAGCATGTTCATAACCAGAATATAGGTGATCAATTTGTATTACTGTCCCTCACTGTCTACATTAGTAATTGTGTCAACTGTGTATTGACAGTTTAGGCTGTACTCTGAATCCATAATATAGTTAAATAAACCTCATGATACCAATTTCCACAGTGTTCTGATGCTTGTTACCTAGGAAAAGTAATACTGCCTTTTTCTTCCACCATGTTTGGCTTTCAATATCACCCTTTTTGAGTACTAGTCTGCAGATATAGTTCCCTAGCAATGTAATAATAACATGCAGTAACGACCATTACTGCTAGGTGGCATTGTGAGTACGTATGGTAGCTGTAACGTAGCTTTGTGAATGATGTTGTCGCTGCCTCCCTGGGTTGTTGAACCAGGAGTGACAGTCATTAAATATTGTCTTGTTTCTTATTCTTTTTCTTGAAGATTAAAACTAATCTGGTAATACAATAGCATGTTATAAGGTAGAAATGGTTGTCATGTTTAATTTCCCCCTGCGCTCCGTTCCATCCTGGCTATAGATTACATTGCGAGAAACCGTCCTTTGCATTTGCTTCAAGCTTAATGCCTTTTCCTATTCATACCGTTTAGCAAGTCAACTGGGTGGTAAAAAAGGAAAATGTAACCCTTGCACAAGAAGTAAAACCAAGCTTAACTTCCAAGGCCTGGGTCGTGAAATTGTAATTCTGAGCTTTGTGAACATTAATACATAAAAAAAAAAAATATGATAAAAGTAACAAACCTTTGAAATAACAGTAATTTATCTCTGGTTTTATTTCTATTTTCCTGACAATGCGGGCTCTCGTTTTGAAGCAACAGACCGTCATACCCTGCATTCAACAACAAAACCTTGGAACATAATGTTGTGCTGGTTTAGATCGCAACACTCCGAAGGTCTCCACATTGCTGTACACTTTAGCTGACTGACAGCCCTTGGTTTGGTAACTAACTAACACCAAGGGGAGTACAGACAGGCGTAACCCTGGGTCTTTTCTATGCTTCTGGTCTGTCTACCTGTCCCAGACAAAGCATGGGATTGTAGTATGTTTTTAGAATGAGGCGAGGAGGAGGAGGATGAGAGCTTTATTTTTGCCATCCCAATCAGCTGAGGAAGAGGTCGTGAGGAGGTTGTTGTGTTTTATTGAGTGATGATGTGGAATTCCAAGCAATCCAAGTGGTGATTATATTTATGTTAGTTTGACTTGATCTTTTTTATAGTTTTTATGTTATTTTTTTACTGTTGTATCAAAACCCAGAGAAGGCAGGTCAAAACAACATTGAGGTGTGATGTGGTGGTATGAACTGTTCCTGAATAAACATGAGTTGCAACTGACTGGTTGTCACTGTTTGATTTCTCAATATACAGTATAGTAGATATAAAAATATACCTTTTAATGTACTCTGAACATGACCGGTCCAGGATGAATCACATTCTTAACAGAGCACATTGTTAACATCTCTCATAGAAATGTGATGTGTAGATCTGACAGTTAGTTGCCATTTATTAGATAGAATATGTAATATAACAGCAATCTATCTGCACCACTCTGGGTTAATAGCTCTATTGTGTTGGGAATTTCCAATTTTCAGACCCATTGTTAAGCCTGGCAGTATTCTTGTCACCACTCTGTTATAATTGTTATGTTTTATAGCCAGTTAAAGTCTAATGACATCACTTTTGATGGGTGTAATAATGACAGGCTGAGAAGATTTCGGCTATAAAACACCATCTCAGTCTGCAGTGGGAGATAGAGTATAAACAGAGCCAGTTCACAAGAAGAACTTATATAAACCCTCCCAAGATAATGTAGCTGTCAGTGGCCAGTTATTTTATATGCCCATTTACAACAGATGAGCTTGTATGGGGGGAGAGAGATCCGTTGAGGAGATATCCCATTAAGACAACTGTTATTCTTATCATAGGTGATCCTCCAGCTTGACTTTAACTTGGCTCTATGAGGAGCATACACTGAGCGTACAAAACATTAGGAACACCTGCTCTTTCCATGACATAGACTGACCAGGTGAATCCAGGTGAAAGCTATGATCCCTTATTGATGTCAATTGTTAAATCCACTTCAATCAGTATATATGAAGGGGAGGAGACAGGTTAAATAATGATTTGTAAGCCTTGAGACATGGATTGTATATGTGTGTCATTCAGAGGGTGAACGGGCAAGACAAAATATTTAAGTGCCTATGGTAGTAGGTGCCAGGTGCACCAGTTTGAGTGTGTCAAGAACTGCAACGCTGCTGGTTTTTCATGCTCAACAGTTTCCTGTGTGTATCAAGAATGGTCCACCATCCAAAGGACATCCAGCCAACTTGGCACAACTCTTGGAAGCATTGAAGTCAACATGGACCAGCATCCCTGTGGAATGCTTTCGACACCTTGTAGAGTACATGGCCCGACGAATTGAGGCTGTTCTGATGGCAAAAGGGGTTGCAAGTAAATATTGGGAAGATGTTCCTAATGTTGTGTACACTCAGTGTATCTCATTTAAGGACACACACAGATTACCCTGTGAATGTAGGAAAGTGCTTGATCAGTTCAGATCTTAGAGCCCACCGTGGAAAAGTGATTGGGGTTTGTCTTGAAGGGGATCTGGGGAGAAGCTGGCCACAGTCAGAGCTGCAGTGAATGGGAAAACCACATTAAGTGTGTAACTTGCTGTATTAACAGGTAATGTCTCCTGCTTCATCTGTTGAGGAACACGACTGAAGGTGAGAGAGCGAGAGAGAGGTCACATAATGAAGTCTGGGTTCGCGACTCGAGGACTATAGCTTTGACTTCATATCTGACAAGATCAACAACACAAAAATACAGCCTTTAGTATCCGGGCCGAGGTAGAACCAAAAACTAGATTACAATACCTGTTTGTCCTTCAGTATAGGACAGATAATAATCAGATATAGGCAGCATGACTTTGGCTGTAGTCCACAATGACCTCAGCAGCTCTGAACATAACCTCTGTTTTTCTAAGGGGTGTAGGAGCTCAGATATAATGAGAGGTGCATAGAAGTGTGATAAACAGCATAGGCTACATAAAGCCCTGAAAGTACCCTATGACACAACCTCAGCTCATGCACAGCTTTGAAGAATACAGTGTGATTCACTAAGGAAACAGTGGCTAAAATGGTTCACCCCAAATTACTTGGTGAGCTCACCATTCTTTCTACAGATGTAGGATCTTAATGTGAGCCAGTTTGCTACAACAGGAAAAAAATCCTGCAGCAACGGGAAATGTGAATCATTATGTGGATTATAATGAATGGTGTTTTTTGTAGGGGTTGATTCTTCATCAGGGAAAATCAAGTCTGACATTTGTGGAAATTACAAACTTTAGAAGCCTTTTTAAACACTACAAGTTTTACATTTCCTGCATTGTAGGAAAGTTATCCTACAACAGGGTGATCAAATTAAGATCTTATATCTGTAACAACAAATACTGGAGCCAAATCTGGAGGAGGAAGTGCACCCAAGCCCTCTCATAAAAACACAGCAGGCAAACAAATCAAACCTAAACTATACTTCCTGTTTCCACCGGACTACACTTGATTGTATGGGTAGTCTGGGGAATGTTATACTTAGCCTATTCTCTTTGGTGCCATTCTCCAGTGTGTCTCTGTCCCACCCAGTGCTGTGTATGGGTCTGATGTATCACTGTTTTCATCGGTTTGCCCTTTTGACTCATAGTGATAAGGTCCCTAATGTGTTAGAGCCCTGTCACTCATCCAGATAGCTACCTGTTAAGGCTACTGAGGGATTTACACATAACATAAGAGTGTTCCAGAGAGACAGAGAGCACACAGCTCTCTATCTCTAGATTATTCTTATTTTGGGTGTCCTGTGGTTCCCCCGTGCAAATTCAGGCATAAAAGGAAAAATCAATACATTCTCAGTAGTGCTTACCTCGGTTCCAACATATCAGTGACATCATTAACACAGACTCAGTCAATGTACACAACGCTTTCATCCCCATATTTATTTGAAATAGATTACTGGATTAGCACAGAGACAGAAATAAAGGTGAAAGGATTAAATATGGTAAACACCATATTTCATTTCATGTCTTTGACACTTGAGTACAACAAAATTCTGTTTTCTCAGCCTACTGTCTGCAGGGACTAAATAACCTGCCCGTGATGCCAAGGTAAAATGTTTAACTACACATGAGCACTACCACTCACAAACACGAGGTGGCAGTGTTTCATTGTAGTATATCATAGAAAATTGACCACACACCAAGCATAGAGATGGAGAAAAGGCTTGTTTGAAAACAATTTGAAATGCATTTGTTTATCTATCTGCCATCAGTAATTCTATAGTCTTCCCTCTAGTTTCCTGTTGCTGCTAATAAGAAAACCAACACCACACATGATCAACGACAGATGTAGCATTTAACCCTCAACGACAGGTCTATCATTTAACCCTCTGAGCTATTTCTCTGGCTAACTCATCATCTTGTTTTTCGCAGGTTATGTACACAACTCTCCTTCTCCCTCTCTCTCCCATCCCTCTGACTCCCTCTCTCTCAACATCTCCTCTCTCTCCTTTCTCCACCATTTCTCTCTCCCATCTACTCTCTCTTCCTCTCTGTCACTCTCTCTCTCTCCCCCATATCAATTCAATTTCAATTTATTGGCATGGGAAACACATGTTTACATTGCCAAAGCAAGTGAAATAGATGACAAACAAAAGTGAATTAAACAGTAAAAATTTTACAGTAAACATTACACTCACAAAAGTAAAAAAATTATAAAGACATTTCAAGTGTCATACTATGTCTATATCCAGTGTTGTAATGATGTGCAAAAAGTTAAAGTACAAAAAGGAAAATAAATAAACATAAATATTTGTTGTATTTAAAATGGTGTTTGTTCTTCAGGTCACAAATCTTGCTGATGTGATTGCACACTGTGGTATTCAACCAAATATATATGGGAGTTTATCCAAATTGTATATGTTTTCGAATTTTTTGTGGGTCTGTGTAATCTGCGGGAAGTATGCGTCTCTAATATGGCCATACATTTGGCAGGAAGTTAGGAAGTGCAGCTCAGTTTCCACCTCATTTTGTGGGTAGTGTGCACATAGCCTGTCTTCTCTTGAGAGCCAGGTCTGCCTACGGCGGCCTTTCTCAATAGCAAGGCCATGCTCACTGAGTCTGTACATAGTCAAAGACTTTTGGGTTAGTCACAGTGGTCAGGTATTCTGCCACTGTGTACTCTCTGTTTAGGGCCAAATAGCATTCTAGTTTGCTCAGATGTTGGTAAATTCTTTCCAATGTGTCAAGTAATTATCTTTTTGTTTTCTCATGATTTGGTTCGGTCTAATTGTGTTGCTGTCCTGGGGCTCTGTGGGGTCTGTTTGTGTTTGTGAACAGAGCACCAGGACCAGCTTGCTTAGGGGACTCTTCTCCAGGTTCATCTCTCTGTAGGTGATGGCTTTGTTATGGAAGGTTTGGGAATCACTTCCTTTTAGGTGGTTATATAATTTAATGGCTCTTTTCTGGATTATGATAATTAGCGGGTATCGGCCTAATTCGGCTCTGCATGCATTATTTGGTGTTTTACGTTGTACACAGGATATTTTTGCAGAATTCTGCATGCAGAGTCTCAATTTGGTGTTTGTCCCATTTTGTGAATTCTTGGTTGGTGAGCGGATCCCAGACCTCACAACCTTAAAGGGCAATGGGTTCTATAACTGATTCAATTATTTTTAGCCAGATCCTAATTGGTATGTCGAATTTTATGTTCCTTTTGATGGCATAGAAGGCCCTTCTTGCCTTGTCTCTCAGATTGTTCACAGCTTTGTGGAAGTTACCTGTGGTGGTGATGTTTAGGCCGAGATATGTATAGTTTTTTGTGTGCTCTAGGGCAGCGGTGTCTAGATGGAATTTGTATTTGTGGTCCTGGCAACTGGACCAACTGGACCAACTGAACACCATTATTTTTGTCTTACGAGATTTACTGTCAGGGCCCAGGTCTGACAGAATCTGTGCAAAATATCTAGGTGCTGCTGTAGGCCCTCCTTGGTTGGGGACAGAAGCACCAGATCATCAGCAAACAGTAGACATTTTACTTCAGATTTTAGTAGGGTGAGGCCGGGTGCTGCAGACTGTTCTAGTGCCCTCGCCAATTCGTTGATATATATATATACATATACATATTACATATATTAGTCATTTAGCAGACGCTCTTATCCAGAGCGACTTACAGGAGCAATTAGGGTTAAGTGCCTTGCTCAAGGGCACATCGACAGATTTTTCACCTAGTCGGCTCGGGGATTAGAACCAGCGACCTTTCGGTTACTGGCACAACGCTCTTAACCAC